AACGCCATTTTGGGCAGGGGAGATGCTGTCAGGGGTAGGAAGATACTGCCACAGGGCTCCCTCACACCTGGAATGCTCCCCCGAGCTCACTCCCGCTGGCCCTCAGACACCCGGAGGCTCCCCACGTGGCAGGGACCATCCTGGCCTGTCACCCGCACCCCCGCTCCTGGCACCCGCACCGTGAGCAGTTCCCCGGGTATTGGCACAGGCAGATGCCGCTGCAGCTTGTCATTCAACAGCTTCACCATCACAAGCACCACCCCCGCCACAACTGCAGTGACCACGGTGCCGACCACACTCTGGGGCAGCTTCCAGCAGACCTCCAGCACTGTCTGTGGAGAGGCAGGTCACAGCCCGCACTCAAGGCCATGGGGCACACCTACCCATCCCTCCTCCCTCCCCCACTCACATAGATGAGGGACAGTGGCCCAGAGTAGCTGTTCAGTTGGAGGCCAAACACATACTTGAGCTGCGAGACGAAGACCTGCACAGACGCAGCTGTGGTATAGCCACGGACCAGAGGCTCTGACAGGTAGGTGACCACAAAGCCGAAGTGGACCAGGCCCAGCCCCACCTGTGAAGTGGCCAGGCATAGTCAAGGGAGGCAGGGGTCCCAGGGGTGACTGAAGAGAAGCCCAGGGCATGTGGGATCAGAGGGGACGAGTGGACAGCAGAGGAGGAGGAGGGTGGAGCTGGGCAGACACTCAGGGGAACGGCAGGGGGTGCGGGGAGCACGTACTCCCGACTGCTCCACACCTGGAAGAGGCCGACCAGGACGCTGAGCGTGGAGGCCAGCTGCACCCGGGCGGCATCTGTGGTTGTCTCGTTGACCGTGGAGTTCGTGGCTGGGGCCAAGGATTCTGTCACACTGCCCACCATCACAGACATGATAGCAAAGGTCCCTGCAGGGATAGTCAGGGCAAGTCTGAAAGGGAGAGGACACTGCCATACTCTCGAGCTCTGGTCTTAAGAGAGAGGCCAAGAGACATCCAGTTCTGGACAAACATCCTCAGAATACGGCTGTACAAATAAGGTGGAGACGCGCTGGTGGTTAGGAATGGCCAGGGTCAAGAGTGAACCTTGAGCTCACAGGCTCTTAAGGTTGACTAGAAATGCTGGCCCTGCATCACCCACCCTGTCCCACCTGTCTGGCCCAGGGACACAGAGGCTCTCTATGGAGTGGGGAAGGGGCGAGGGCCTGCCTCAGGCTGGTCAGGCCTCTGCCAAGCTCCATGCCCCTCAACCTGCTGCACTCACTCATATTTTCCCGGAGCCAGGGCTTTGAGGTACCTTGAATCTGTGGTCTTAGTCCTGCCTGGGGATGACCCCTGGGCTAGCCTCCCAGTGACCCTGCACTCTTCCCCAAGCTCTTCTGCCCTCCCAGCCCTTCCTTTCACTGTCCTCCATGGTGGATGTGGACACCCTCCTGAAGGGTAGGCCTGACTCCGCTTACCCACAGAGATGTGCCGGGAAGTACCAAACAGGAAGTAGATGAAGACGGGGTAGAAGGAGCTGTAGAGGCCATACACAGGGGGCAACCCAGCCAGGAGAGCGTAGGCCAAGCCTGGGGGTGGGAGCGTAGTGATGCAGGCTTGGAAGCCAGGGTCTCAAAAGGGTAGGGGAATCCCAGCCCTGGGAATCCTCAGGTGCCACAGTTCCAGGGTCAGAGGCCGTGGCTCCAGGTTTGGGGGGTTCACAGACCACAAGACTTCCAGGCCAAGGCCTAGAAGAGGCTCACCCTGTGGAAGCTGCATGATGGCCACACTCAGGCCAGATAACAAGTCACCCAGGAGCCAGTCACGCACGGGATACCGGGGTAACCAGACCAAAACTGGAAGGCGTTGGAGCAGAAGGGCACGGGCTCGGGCATGGGAGCACCTGAGGACATGAGGGGTAAGTATCGGGGACAGGGGCTACTCAGGCCCTGCCAGAGCCCCCAGACCTCCACTCTTGGCCTTACTGAAACCAGATTCGCCACTGACGGGTCCTAGGTGCTGAGCTCCAGTGCCCCAGCTCCTCCAGCTGCTCCTGGTTCAGCAGTGGCCGTTCCATGCGGTAGTCTCGCCTCTGCAGCTCCATTGCCTGCGTTGCAGACAGCTGTACCTGCACGTTCTTGCCATGGGGTGGTGAGACCACACAGATAAAGTGAGCACACCCCTGATCCAACCTCCCCCACACCTCCACCTGGGACCAAAGAGTCACCTACCTGATTTTTCCAGGCCCCAAGATCAAGGTACAGTAGGTCCAGTCCCAGCCTGCCCCTGTGGGCCCCATGCCCACGCCCAAGCAGGGGCAGTACCTGAACTTTGGCTGATGGAAGCCTCTTTCTGGGCCAAAGTCCCCCAACAAGGGGCAGCAAGATGAGCACAGCAGGATGAACATGACTCTCACCTTCAGCCCAGGTGTGGCTGCCCAGCCCTGAGCATTCTGCTCTGGGTCCAAGGCTGGCCACCCCTCCTAGCCCCTTTCTCCCAGCTCCTTGTCTTCCCCCAGCTAGTCTGTGTCTGGTCCCCACATTCTTATTCAGCTACCCCAGGAGCCCAGTGCTGGCTGGCTGAGAACACACTCAGGGAAGAGATCCAGCAAACCAGCGGTCCAGTTCTTCAAGCAACTCCCTCTCCAAGCCTCAGGCCTCCAGATGAGACTCTCCCCTCTATGGGAAGGAATGTGTTGGGGCCAAGGTTGCCCCTGGGCCTCCAGCCCCAGGGTTCAGATTTAGACAGCTCAGGCCTAGTCTGGGAAAACCAAGGGATGCCTCTCACCTGAGGAGAAGGGGGAAGCTCTCACCTAGAGGGAAAGAGGCTCCTAGCTAGAAAGGGAAGTGCCCACTTGATGCAGCAGAAAGATTTCACCTGGGAATAGGAGTTCTCAGGGGAATCTCACCTAGAGGGAACTCTGACTTGCCAGGAAAACTTTCACCACCCAGGCAAGACCTCTTATCTGTCCAGAGGCTCCTAACTGAAGTGGGAGAAAGATCTCACCTGGGACAGGAGACCCAGGGGGAGGTTCTTACCTGGGAGTTACTCTCATCTAAGGGAACTCTGACCTGGGGGGAGGCTCCCCCCAGGAGAGGGGGGACTGGGAGAAAGTACTCACCTGGGAATATATCTCACAGCAGGGATGTTAGCTGGGGAAAGCTCTAGCCTGTTGGGGAAGCTTTCACCTATCAGGAAAGTTGTGATTTGGGGGAAGCTCTGAGCTGGGGAGAGAATCGCACCTGAGGGACAGGAACTCACCTGGGAAGGGCTTCTAAACTGGATGTCCCGGTTAGAGGAGACAGTGGAGTGGGAGCGAGGAAGATCCTCAGAGATTCTTGGCACCGCTATCTCCAAATCTTAGAGGCTCCACTCACTCCCCTCCTCAGTGAGTCGCTTAGGTCTTTTTCAAGGACTCCCTCCCGGACAACGGACAACGCTGGACCCGCGCCCAGAGGGCGAAGCCTAGATCGTTGGCCCCTCCCTCTAGGAAGGTACAGCCAGAAGGGCCAGAGAACTCACTCCTCGGTCAGGTGTACATCTGGGTTGACCCGGGCCCCAGGTGAAAGCAGTTAACCCACGGGCCCCGGCCGGAGACTCTTTTGCAGCAACCTCTAGGCCCTCACGCGCCCCAGCCAGAGCTTTTCTGCACGCTGCTGGCTCCCTGCGGCCCCCGGTTAGCCCTCGGGCAGCACCCCAGCAGCTACCCGCACAACCCGCAGGGGCTGGGGTCGCGCCGGCTCCCACCCCCATCCCTGGCTGCCGACTGGCAGCCGCCTGCAGAAAATCGACAAAGAGGCGATCGCAGGTGGGAGATGCCTGCTCCAGGTCTGGCGCTCACGCAGGGCCCGCACCTCGCGGACACGGAGAACCCGGACCGCGCCCTGCACTCACCCGGACGCCTCCGACAGCCCCGTGGCTCGCACGCGCCCGGTAGCTGCTCCTAACAGCTCCAGCTCCGGGCCGCTACGCGCCGGAAGGCGGCGCTGGGGCAGCTGCAAGGCCGGCCGCGCGCTCGCGGGGACTAATCCTGGGGCAGCACAGGGAAGGCTTGGGCCAATCGGCGTGCGGGGGCGGGGTCTAAGGGACGCTCCCCGGCCCCCAGAACCCCGAGACCGAAGATTTAACTCCTTCCTCCCCGGAGGTCTGGCTCGCACTCACCATCGCGGCTCGCCCAGCCCTCTGCCCGGAGCCCGGTGGGACTGCAGAACTGGAACTAAGGACCAGCGCTGGGCTGGCTGTAGCCGCGCCCCCAGCCCCGTGTGGGATGGAGCTGCTTTTCGGTCTTGGCTTTGCGCACGGTACCCGTGGAATGGGGAGGGGAAACCTCGAGTGGTCTGGAGGCCTTGGGGTGTGTCTAATAACCCAGCCTTAACTCTTGGTGGGGGATTCAGGTCTGTGGGGCTTCTCAAGCAGCCAGCTTAGGGCGCCACCCTCAGGCTTTCCCTCTGAAGCTAGGCTTGTTTCTGAGATGGTCCCCAGGGCCTCCTCTTCAGCTCTGACCACCCAGGCCAGAAATGAAGCTGCAAGGATCCCCTCCTCCATCTCCCATTTCTCCCCTCCCCCTGCACAAAACTCGGCCTGGCCCTGGCATTGAGTCCGCGCCTGCGCCTGGAAGGTTCCTGCCTGACCCGAGGGGGGACGTGTCATCCTGGCCAGCTCCAAGTCAGAGAGGCTGGTGGGGGTCAGTGATGTTAGTGACCCCTAGTGTCATGACCCCTAGCCAGGGCATAAAACGCCAGGCCAGGGCTGCAGGTCCCAAAGACTTAGGATGTCCTCATGCCCACTGCCTTGACCAAGAGGAAGCTTCCTTTGGCACCTTACTCCCAGCACTTTAGGCCCCAATTACAAGGTGAGGGCCGAGGTTTCAGGGTGAAAGATGGGAACTTGGTCCAAATCTAGGATGAAATGGGCTAAAAATAGCTGGATATTCTTGGAGGGGGCTCAGATTCCTCCCAAAGGTCAGTCTGGCCTGAAGCATTCACAGTCACCATCCTGCACCCCACAACAGAAAAAGGCAACAACTGTTTTCTATAGAAGTTTATTCCCAAAACAGAGCGCGGCTTCACGGAACAATTTACACAGACAGGAAAGGGGACCGCTGGGCTGGAGGGGGGCACCCCCAGGGAGGGGCATCTACAAAACCTAGGCCATAGCAAGGACACCCTCCCACCCTTAGCAGGCCACTCAGCCCTTCAAGGGCTGGGATCATTCTGGGTAAGGAGAGCTTGGGTCCTGGCTGGTGGGATTTGGCACCAGTCAGTGAAGTACAATTTTTAATCTCCTAGGAAACTGCCTCCTAGGAGTATGCATGGGGTGGGGGGGGTGTCTATAAGACCACCCCCAGCCCTATACAACCACAGTCCCCTGTGGTAAAAGGGTGCCTACTCTTGAGGCCCCCTGGATCTGCTGTTAAACAGGGGACTTAGGGCTGACCTTTGGCCTGGGAGAGCTCAAGATGGCCAGGTCCAGGGTCCTCACAGGTGGGTCCTCCAAGCCCCTCTCCCACTTTCCCTACCTTTTACTTGTAAACAAAGGGGGGAAAAAACATTCACAACTGTAAACAAAGTGTAAAAGTTCAAAGTTTTAAGTTGTAAACAAAGGTAAAAAAAATTTTTTTAAATCTGTACCTGTAAACAAAGCAACAAAAATTTAAAGTCCCAGTTCTGGACATCAGACAAAGTAACAAAAGTGAGAGCTTTGTGAACAGGGTCCTAACAGTCATGTTTCCCTTTTTAAGGGAATAAAGGAGGAGTGGAACTGAGTCGCTTCCTGCAGCCCGGTGCCAAGGGCCAGGGAGGGTCCTGTAAACTCAGAGGCAGTGGCACCTACATTCTGGGTCTTGAATTCCCTTGTTTCTGATCCCCTTGCTCACCCTCCCAACCTACCCTTCAGAGCAAATTTTAGCAGGGGGCAGAGTCAGGGAGTCAAATGGCACCACAGACAACTTTTGCTCACAGCAGGGGCAGGGGCAGGTGAACAACCCCTCCCCCACCCTCTGCAGGAATGTCGGACTAGAGGCCTGAGCCCCCATGGGAGCCAGGGAAGCCTTGCTCTGTAAACACGACATCTGCTGCTCCACCAGCACCCTACAGCATCAGTCCTAGGTCATAAGGCAGTAAGTGGCAAGGACTCCACATAATAAACACACATATCCACAGGGAGGGGAGGCATGAGCAAGCCCCCATGAGGAAGCCAGAGGACCCGTTTCCAAGACCAAACCCCAGCCCTAGAAGTTTGGCCTTTGGGGTGTTCAAGGAAAAACAAGGAACAATTTTGTACTTGGGCCCCTGGCAATATTCAGATCCACCTTGCAGGTAGGGGGAGGGTAGGAAAGGCTCTGTCCCACCTGTCTGACTCCACCCCAGTAAGAGCATATGGTTTGCTAGGGACCCACATGGGGCCAAACTCTGCCTCTCTTCCTCTGTCCCCCTCCCCCTCCCAGCCCAGCCTCGGACCTCTGGGAGACAGAAAAGCTGAAAAATAACATAAGCATATCTCTCTGGTTACAAAGGTACAAAACATATAAAAGTCCTCCCTTCAGTTTCCCCATCCCTGCATCTGTCACACGCATGCTCACAGATGCGCATGGAACCTCATAACCTCAGGGGGCAGAGCTGTGTAGGGTAGGGGGCAGAGGCTGCCTTGGGATCAGCCCCCAACTCTTGGAGTCTCTTCTGTCAGCCCAAATCCTCCATCGCCCTCAGCTGTTCCTCGTCTGCACCGCTGGCCCCTCAGGAGTGCCCCTCACTTCTGGGAACTCTGTGGAGTTGTGGGTAGAAACCAAAGGTGGACGCTGAGAGGACTCAGGTGCCTCTGGCCTCCCCCACCAGTCTTGGCCTGGTCCACCTCCCAACGCCCCTGCCATTACCCCTGCTTCTCAGCCCCAGACCCTCGTGCCCCCTCATGCCCACCCCATCCATTCTGCACCCCCAGACTCATCACAAGGCTCCTCCGCCACCTAGGTCTGTTCTCTAAGTGCTTCCAAAGCACCTACTATGTACAGATGCTATGTTAAGCACTTGACATTGTCTCATAACTCTCCACATGTGAGTTTGTTACTACAGACCCGTTTTACAGATGAGGAAACTGAGGCTCAGAGAGGCTTATACCCTTCCAAGGCCCACAGCTTATAAGGTGAGACATAGAACTTAAGACTCAGACCTGTGTGACTCCAGAGCCTGAACCCCTGCTCAGTCCCCAGCCCCTCTCACATACAGCCAGACCCCAAGGCTAGACCACAGGGGGACCCAGGTGAGGAGTCAGCTCCCTCTCATCTGCACCCCCAGCATCGCTCTGGAGCCTCAGGCCCCCAAACCCCTTTCTCCTCCCACCTTCCTTTGTCCTCTCCCAACATTGGGTTCTGCTCAGTTCTTTTGGTCCCTTCCCCACCCCGGGGGGCCCCTTCCCCCAAAGCCATCTCTTACCCTATAAGCTTGACCACCTATTTGTTCTCCTTCAAACTCACCTGTCCTTTTGGCTTTCAAGACCTGACGACTCTTGGTTCCTCCCACCCCACCACTCCTTCTCTGGCTCCTGTGCATGCAGCTACTTCCCAGGTCCATCTGCCGTCTCCTCCCCCACAGATGCCCACCGGCACCTGAGATGCGCCAGGTCCCAACTCAGCTCCCGTGAGCCCCACCCCACAGAGCCCACGGCAGGAAGACCTTCATATTGACTGAAGAAACCAATGAACGAATGATTTCCCCTCTACAAAGTTAGCTCTTCACCTGGCATATCCTGGCACAACCTCCAGTCCCTCCTTATCGCATACAACCTCCTAAGCCAAGCCTCCTCCCTCCCCTGCCCCTTGCACTCATCAGATTACCTCCACTTCTAGGCCTTGATCCCTGTCCTCTGCCTGCGCTAGCTCAAGCCCTTGGAAGGCACCTATCTATCCTTAGCCTGGGAGGTGCAGGGAAGGGTGGCTGGCCCCTGTCATTTGGCTGGCATGTCCCTGCTGGTCATACCCCCATTTCCTGCCAGATTTCTGTGCCCAGCCTGGGGTAGGCCACACCTGGCTGCCAACCCTCACTCTATTAACTGGCAGAACACGGAGCAGGGTACACAGGAGGTTGCCCTAAGCTGAGAAGGGTGTGAGCGAGTGGCAGCACGATGCTTACTCTGAGTCCGGTGACAGCTCTGAGATGCTGTGAGAGGTGGCAGAGCGTGGTGTGGAGGGCCCAAGCGCAGAGGCTGTGGCAGAAGGCGTGGCAGTGGTGTGGGGGCCCGAGGGTGTGCTTGAGGACTGCACAGAGGAGAGGGCCGAGGAGTTGAAGGACGCGAGGATAGAGGAGAGAATGTCCAGCTGCTCCGTGGAGGGGCCATGGCTGGGGCCCCTGGCTGGGTCCTCCCTAGCTCTGAGCAGCTGTGGGGGTGGCCCGAGAGCTTCTCGTGAGGGGTGCCGGCTAGGCGCCTGGTCCAGCCGCTCCCGAGAGTTCGAGCTCCTAGACAGGGAGTCCAGGGGCCGGGATGGCAAGAGAGGGTCTCTTGAGAGTTGCCGCTGAGGAGACAGGGGCAGAGGGGGGGGCTGTGGGTCAAGGTCCCGGGTGCGGCGGGGAGGGGGCAGCGTGCTCAACCACTCTCGAGGTGCCCCTAAGTCCAGCGCATCCCGTGACCCGAAGCGGCCAGCCACGGCGCCAGGGTAGTCCTGGGGTGGCTGCCTCCGTGGCAGGGTGCTGCCCCGATTTCTGGGCTCCAGGCGGCCTGGCACAGCATCCACACGTTCTTGGGAACCTGGCCGGCTCAGGGGACGCAGAATAGGGGCAGGGGCCTCCTCTAGTCGCTCTCGGCTCAGTTGCCGCCGGAGGAGCAGGTCCAGCTGTTCTCGGGAAGAGTAGCGACTGGCTGGCTGTGAAAGGCTGCCTGTGCCCCCACCTGCATAGATGCGACCATAAGAGGCAGCTGGCACAGCACGGTGGCCCAAGGTGGCTGCACGGCACCAGGACAGCTCAGGGGCACCTCGGGTCTGTGGCACCAGTGGGTATTGCAGCCGGTTCTTCAGGATACCTAGAGCAGGAACAAAATGGGGACAAGGTGTGTATGTGGGGAGGACAGGCAGGAATTCCCGCGCCTAGGCATGTGGCAGCCCCTGGGATCCCTGACTCAGGGTTGGGGGCAGAAACCCACTGGGGATGGGCAAAGGCAACCCTAGGGGTCCCAGAGAGGCAGCAAGACAGGGGTCAGAGTGGGGAGGCAGTGATGCTCTAGATCAGGTCATGGGCAGGCCCTGTGGTGCAGGGGTAGGGCAACCTCTCCCTCGGGTCAGAGGGGGCAGCCCTCAGGTCCTGGCAATGAGGCCTGGGTCAAAGGTGCAGGAATCCCCTGGGTTGGAGCAAGAGAAGTTCCCAGGGTCTCTGTGATACATAGGATGATGGCAGAAAGCTCAAGTTGGGGCAGGGACAACCTCTGGGGGACACTAGAAAGCAGGGTAAGGGGCAGAAACCTTTCAGATCAGAGCAGGGACTCTGGGATCTGGGAGGCAGCAGCTCCTGTATACTGGGGTTGGAGGAAGGGGAGGAATCCCTTGGATTGGGGCAGGAGTGGCCCCTGAGGTCCCTGTAGTGCCAGCCAGGGTATGGGAAGATAGGAACTCCCGGGTCAGGACAAGGAGACTATGAAGCAGGCTAGAGAAGCAGAAACCCCCTGATCAGAGGAAGAGGAGCTCTCAGTTTGGAACAGGAAGCTGAAATGCCCTGGATCAGGGTAGGTTACAGGAGCCTCTGGGTTGACCCCAGTGACTCATGACCCCTGTGGCCCAGACTCAGTGATGCCTGACCCTAATGACCCTTGAATCTCTGGCTGTTCCCAGTGAGCAGAAATGGGAAAAGGAGGGCATGTCCCCAGAGATCAGTGGAGCCACCAGGGAGGGGTTCCTGATAAGCCCCCTTGCCTTAACTGGGGGTGGATGGAGACTGGAAATGGAGGAACTTGATGGCTCCAGGGGTCAGGGCATGGGCAGCCCTCAGGGTTCCCGCAGTGCAGGCCAAGAGTCAATTTCATACCTTTCCTCTGGCGCTGGGCCCGGCCCAGTGAGGTTTCATCCCCACTGGTCAGGGCCAAGTCTGGCTGATTGTTGTTGGCTGCGTCCTTGCTGGTGTCCAGCCCCAGGCGCCTTTCAGAGCCCCAAGTCTGCAGAGCACAGGGGGCTGCCTCGCACTCCCCCAGGGCTGGCCAGTAGGACAAGAGGTCATTGCCATCCACATCTGTGGAGCCAGGGTAGGTTACAGGAGCCTCTGGGTTGACCCCAGTGACTCATGACCCCTGTGAACCAGACTCAGCGATGTCTGACCCTAATGAACCCTGAAGCCCTGGGTGTTCCCAGTGAGCAGAGGTCAGAATAGGAGGGCATATCCCCAGAGATCAGTGGAACCACCCAGGGAGGGGGTTCCTGATTAGCCCCCTCGCCTTAACTGGGGGCGAATGGAGACTAAAAATGGAGGAACCTAATGGCTCAGGGCTCAGGAAGGCCCAGCTGGACCCAAACCTGCAGGGAAGACGGGGCTGGAGGGATGACTTGCCACTCCATAACATCCCTGAACTCGCATTACTCTGTACCAGGCCATTCCTGGGACTCGCAAGCACTGCCGGGAGGCTGGGTAGGAAGATGTGCATGGGAATCCCTATCATGACCCCAGAGGTTCCCAATGGGCCAGTCCCAGGCATCCTTAAGGGATAGCAGGGTCTGTGCATCACACCTAAGCAGGAAATGGGGTGTCCCTTGTTCACCCATGAGGTCAGAGGTCTCCCATCACCTTTGGGGTGGGTAAGGAGCCTCTCACTTTGGGCTGCCCGGCGGAGTGGACGCTGGAAACGCCCCCGTGTCCGGCCATTGTCCTCGCTTTCTGAAGATGGGATGGACAGACTCCTCTCCTCCTCCAAGGACAAGTCACTGTCAGAGTCGGAGTCTGCACCTGGAGTTGGGAAAGTCAGAAGGAGGGTAAACTTGGGGAGGCAAGGGACTTGGGGGTAAGGGAAGAACCTGAAGTTGAGGGTCTTGAGGTGGGTACAGCAAGGGGGCTGGGGCTGGGGACCTGGGCAGAGCTTGGGGTGGAGGTGGGAACAGAAGGGCCGGGACTTATCCCGCGTGGGCCAGCAGGAGTGGATTGAGAGAACCTGGTCTTGGTGGGTAGGTGCCCTCCTGAGGCAGTGACCTGGGGGAGCTTTTCCCACTCCAGTCAGCCACTGCTCCCAGTTTGGGGCAGAAGAAAAGGGGATCGATCAGGGAGAGATCCTCTGCCTCCCTCCTCCCCGACCCAGGCCCCCAACTCCACCAGCATCTCGATGAAACATGGCAACATCCAGGTCAGTGGGGCCAGCGTGAGCCTGGAGGCTGTGGTCAATGTGGTCAGCAGCTGAGCCATGTCGAACCAGAACATTGTCCCTGGAAAGGCAGGAGGCCTCATCAAAAAGGGTGCTTTGGAGGCTGGAGTATCTGAGTGCACAGCCAGCTGCAGGTGGAATGGCTCTGAGGGCATCCCTGGGTGTGCGGCAGGAGGCGTCTGGGGCAGAGGCAGCAGCAGGGCCCCTGATGGCCCAGATGGGTGAAGCCGCCCACCCCAGGACCTGGTAAGACCAACCCTTGGTAACATGGGGCTAGATGAGAAGGCCCCTCTACTCACCTGAGGTAGCTGCGGCCCCGCTGGCTGTCCTGGTCCTGGGTCCGGCCGGAGCGGGCACTGCTCACTGAGGAGACAGTGGAGGCGCCGAGAGTGATGCGGATGAGGCCACTCTCCTCAAAGAGGGCTGTGTTGTTGTAGGCCCCTGGTCCCTGCTGGAGGCAGGGGTAAGAATGTGAGCCAGCCCTGTAGGAGCCTCGAACCCTGACCTCCCCAGGCCCCCCAGCCCTGACACCCCCTCACCGTCCCAGGCGTGGGCCTAGCCTCCTCGGGTGCTGCCTTCCTGCTTAGGCAGGCTGGTGTCCAGGCAGCCCGGGCATCTGCATTCAGGACACAGAAAAGCAGCAGCACTGCCAGGCCCTGTGGGTCAGCAAAGGTCAGTGTGGGATTAGCAAAGGGCAGAGAGAGATTAAAGTCAGAGAAGATGGAAGTGGGGTCAGCAGGGGCCAGTCACTGCAGGTTGGTATGAAGCAGTAAGGAGCCCAGGGGGACTCAGTAAAAGGGTCAGGCAAGGTCAGCAGGAGCAGAGGCCAGAGTGGCATTAGAGACTGGATCAGTAAAGGTCACTGTGGATCAGCAGGGGGCTAGGAACTTCAGTGTTGGTGAAGGTCAATCCAGGACCAGCACCCAGTCCAGGGTCAGAATCTAGCTAAGAGTCAGCTCCAGGCCTGGGGTCAGCAGCCGGGGCCAGTGTCTGGCCTGGGCTAGCACTTGGCCTGACAACAGTCATTCAGTAAGAGTCAGCCGCAGGCCAGGGTCAGTGCCCTGCCTAGGCTTGGGCCAAGCCTGTTGCAGGTCCACTGGGGTGGGGGAAGGGCACCAGGGTTACCTGGAGGCCACAGAGGCCGGCGTGGAGGTAGTGGAAGGCCAGGATGCTGTGGTTGACTGCCAGGAGGCCAAAGAGCCAGGAGGCACTGATCAGCAGAAGGAGCAGAAAGGAGCTGCGAAGGGTCCTGCCATGGGGACATGGGAGGACACAGGAGGACATGAAAGGCTCATATAGGGCTCATACAGGGGACATGGAAGAGAAGGAACCCACACAGAAATATGGGGGTCTCTGGAGGACACTGGGGAGATGGGAGGTCATGCAAAGAACCAAGAGAGCACTCAGGGAGCCATAAGGGGACATGGGGAAAATACACATGAGTGTGGGGCCATGAGGGAAAGCATGGAAGATAGGAGGGCACACGTGGGGCAGGGGGCAGAGTGAGACACCCAGGCCAAGGGAGACTCTGGGGAGACCCAGGGGACAAGGAGAGACAGCATGGTGGAAGCACATGCAGGCCAGAGTATGGCGAGGTGCCAGGGCAGGACTGCAGGTGTGACCTCATCCCTTCATTAGAACTTGGAGCCAAACCTGCACCAGGGATGCTCTCGGGACCCCAGACTGCACTTAGGAGGGGCCTGGCATCCTGAGAATCCCCCTTTCCCCCAGCCAGCCAACTCACAGTGCAGAGGTCTTCTTGGCCTCCCTCTGCCCTGTGGAGCAGGATGTGCGGGCGGCGAGGAGAAACATGGTCCCGTTCATCTGGACCCACAGCCACACGTGTGGGGCCGGGCAGAGAGAGAGAGAGAGAGAGAGAGAGAGAGAGACAATGAGAGACAGAGAGAAGAAAGGACAGAGAGAGACCAAGACTCACAGAAAAAGGGGCAGAACCAGTGAGAAATTCTTACACACATGCACACAAAAGTACAGAGATCAGAAACAAAAGACAGAGGTGCTTAGAATCACAGAAAAAGTTGGAGATGGGAACCATACAGGGACTGAGAGATGGGGAAGGACAGAGACAGAGGCAGAGGCAGGAGAGTCTGTGACCCCACAGCCCCATCTCCGTGCCAGTTGAGTGAGGAGTGGTCACTCTGTGACCAGAGAACAGAAATGGAGGCCAAGCCCAGGAAGCCTGTAGACCACACGTGCTGTAAGCCCCTCACCTGCCCCCAGGAGGGAAGCACAGAAGTGGGCACCAAGTACAGGGCACTCACCACTATGACCAGGACGACAGGGCCAGCAAAGCTCCAGATGAGGGGTTCATGGACTGAGATCCAGCAGAAGTCAGGGTTCCCGTAGCCCTCAGGGTCCAGGCCAACAGCAAGGCCTTGGGGACAATGGGTAGAACTGAGAGGTGTGTTCTAGAGCTGCTGACCCTCCCACATGCGGGAAGAAGGTGGGTGAGGGCGGAGCAGGTTCCTCCAGTAAGAGGGGATGCAGGGGGTTGAGGTTGGAGGTCACGATTGGGATTGGGGGTAGGGTCAGGGGTCAGGCAATGTGATGGCTAGAGGTCAGGGGTCACAGCCCTGAATGGGCGAGTGGGCAGGGCCCTCACCCAGCAGCACAGCAGGGACGCCCCAGCCCAGGGCATGGTAGAAGCGCATGGCACCGCGGTCCACGTTGCGTGGCTCAACCTGCATGCGGTAGAGGTGCAGCCCCTGCACGAGGAGCCACGCAAAGGTGCTGAGGAAGAAGTAGTGCAGGAGGATGGCGACCGCAGTGCACACCAGCTGAGGGCAGGGCAGGGGGGTGTCAGGACCGCTCCTGCCTCGCCCCACCTCTGACCCCCCCACCAAGAATCCACTTCCCACTTTGACCTCTAAACCACAGCATCTTACTGGGGCATGTTGCCCCAAACCCTGGCCTCAATCTGAGCATCCCTGACCTCTGACCCCGAGCTTTGGCCCCAGGCCTCCTGGGTGAGGTGGGGTCATCAGGACACAGCTCCCTCGGCCCTGAACCTGCACCTGGTTGTGAGTCCTGTGAATCCCCAGCAGGAAGAGGAGCTCTGCTACCCCCAGGGCGGCTGCCACGTTGGCATGGATCCCACGCACATTGGACTTGAGGCTGCGTAGACTCAGCAGAATGGTGGCGGTCAGCACCAGTGCAGCCACGGACACGGCCACGACCACGTGGGTGAACACAGCCAGCAGCTCCAGGTCACCCTCCAGCCGCTGTGGAGACAGGGATGGTTGCTGGGGTGTTGGGCAGAATCCCCGTCCCTTTGACCCCGCCTTTCTTCAGAACACTTAACACAGCCCCACCTCACGGGGGGAGGCATCCATGAGGACCCCAAAGGTGCCCGTCCGGCTGCAGCGACACCGTGCGTGGGACCCGTTCCTGTGCACCAGCTCGCAGTCCCGTGCTGTCCACATACCATGCCGGTCCGCCCTGCAGCCACAGGGCAGTTAGACCTACCACCCCATCCCAGGAGTGCCCCTTGGTCAGGTGGAGGTTGGTGAGGGGTTGTGGGAAGGGCTGTGGGGCAGGCTGGGATTATCAGTTGGCCTCCTGGGAGCTAACAGGGGGACCAGGGGTTTCCAGAATGGGAGTCCTCACAGGCCAGGTGGGTCCCACTGCACGCAGATCGCCTTGCTCCGATTCGCCGTCTGTAGCAGTCGGAACTCAAGGCTGATTGGGGACTCCAGGACACCCCGTAGGAAGTTGTGTCCATGGAATACAGCCACGCTGACCACCGGAGAGTTCATAACGGGGTTCTGGGGCAGCCTGAGGAGACACCCGATCTGGGCTTGGCCACTGCTGACCTCTCCGAGCTCTGCCTGCCTACCTCACCCTGTCTTCATGCCACTTGCCATGGCTGACCCATGGTGTGGGATGTCCCCAGAGTGGATGCTCCTTCTGAGATTCCTCTCTGCTGGGCTACTCTGGGGCTTCACACTCACTGCCCAGGCTGCAGTCTGAGGCCTGAGCAGCTCCAGAGGATCTGCGACCGTCTGCTCTCATCGCCCTCCCGCCTGCCCCATCTGATCTCCATCAGTCAGCCTGTCTTTGCCCGTCTCAATCAGCCACATGGCCTGTCTGTTCCTGGCTCATGTACCCCTCCTGTGTGTGACTGCCCCCATCTGTGACTCTGTGTCTATCAGCCTGCAGCTCTACACCTCTGCACAATGCCAGAGAGCATGATTCACATGGAACCCAGCATGGAGCTGTGCACAGGAACATCTCTGTATGTCTGTGAACCTGCTCATCTGCCACCAAAGAAGGGAGTGGCAGGCTGAGTCGAAGCTCGTAGGAAGCTCAGGGGTGAGGGGCCTGGGTACCTGGCACCTCTGCGCTCAGCCTGGAACTGGGCAGGGAGCAGCCCCCCCAAAGTGCGGTAGACGAGGAGAATGACAATGGAGATCCCAGGCTCTGGCTCTGGGGGTGTTGGTGGGGGGAGCACACTTGAGGCGGTGGAGTTTTCCATGCTGCTGGTTGTGGGCAGAACTGCCAGGAAAGGGGGAGGAGCCACTGTCAGTGACCTCCAACCCCAAGCACCCACAAACCCAGCTCTGAACCCAGCCCAGCATCAAGCACAAGGATCTTTTCCCTGCAGGTCCAGAACTGTGGGATGGAGGAGCAGGAGCCCATGAGGGGAATATTCAAGGATTGGGAAGGGTCATGTGTGAAGAGGAGGAGGAGGTCAGACATGGGGGAGGTCTGGCAAAGGGGAAATTGGCAGAAGGGCAACATGGGGTCTGGCTTAGGGGGGACAGGGAGAAAGGACCTGGTCCAGGGGTTCCCCAAGGGTTCTCACCTTCAGATGGGGATGGCCGAGGGGACTGGGAAGGCAGTAGCACATGGGTATGAGGATCCCAGGCATCCTGGCCTCGAAAGAGGTTGCTGTGGTAACGGGGGTACCGACGGGCCCCCCGGGTTGAACTGGGGTGCTCCATGCGGTCAATGCTGAGCACTGCCCAGTAGGAAGAAAGAGGAGGCCTATCAAGATCTTATTCCCCATGCTGAGGGTCCCACTCCCTCCAGCACCCAAGTCCCACAATCCACATTTTCCTTGCTACCAGCAGAGCCTGTCCCTGTAAAATGCTGAGGGTGGTGGCACAGCCTCCTGCCATGAATGTTGGCATCAATAGCTCCAGCCCCTCAGACTTCTAGGTCCCTGCCTTTTCATGGTCCCCTGCCATGCCCCGCCCCACCCCACCCACCACGCACTGATATTGGGTGTCACCAGCCCCACAGGATTCAGGTATGTGAGTTCCATATTCCTTGCAAGCGTGGCCGCATACTCCTCTAGATGCCGCATCAGCCCTGCGCTTCCTGGGGAGCCCCCAGGGGCCCGCTGCCCCAGCGCCGCCCACAGGTCCCCAGTCTCTGGTGCAAGCAGTGCAGAGCCGGCCCACAGCAGATTCTAGAAGGACGGAGATGGAGGTGGGCTCAGCCAGGTAGTGAGGATGTATGAGGGGACAGGACAGGCATGAGGGGTCTGGCCAGGTGCTCAAAAGGGCCCCAACAGGCAAGGGAGGTGGAGCGGGAGAGGACAAGGGAAGAGGAACAGCCTGGGACCTTCACTTCCCCGGAGGACAGGAGGGGCCTGAGCTGGCAATCCAGGACTAGGGGCCTGGGGAGCCAGGGGCACAGAGCTGGGGGTCCAGGGCCAGGGGACTGGGAACATAGGGCATAGCCCCACCTCATTGAAGTGGGCATCCTGTGTGGCTGTCAGCCCGAAGCCCTGTTGATGGCTCTCAAAGGCCAGCAGATGGGCCAGCAGACGAGCAGTGACACGGACATCTTGGCTGAAGTAGTGGTCAGTGTGGCCAGTCACCTCCCGCAGCTGCTGTGCCAGCTTCTTGGCCTCCACGGTGTCCAGTGCTGTCTTGTTCAGCTCTAGGCCATCCAGCTGCCAGGATAAGGATGAGGGTAGTTGTTCTGTGATCACTTAGGCCTTTCTCAAAAGCCTCCTAGGCAGGAGGGGTTGCCAATTCAAAGCACAACTGGAAAAGGCCCAGGAGGTCAATGGCTGGGGTATGATATCTGAGACCTGCCACAGGCCTGGGGTGGCTGAGGCCAGGATCGGAGCCAGAGAAGATCTTGGATGCAGGGCAAGGTCTGGGCAGAGTCTCACCAGCAGACTAAGCTCTCGAAAAGCAGGGGAGGTACAGTTGAAGAGGTCGGGCTCCAGCCAACCCTGGTCCTCGTCACATAGCCGCACGGCAGCACCTGGGAGCAGGAAAGCCCTGGTCAGGCCTGGGTGTGGATCCCTTTGCTAAGGGGGTGACCACAGCACCCTCTCCTATCCCAGGGGGGCATCTATGGCTGGACCCCTGGACATAGCAGCCCAAACCCAGGTGAGCCCCAGCACTTGTCAGTCAATTCCTGAGGGGTCTGTGGGCCATTCTCAACCACCAGCTACATAAAGGAAAGCAACAGGGTGGGGCTGCAGACACGCTCACACTCAAACACATTCACGCATGGGCTGGGACAGGCTCATAAACACACCCCCCCAATGCTCACAGCTGCACGCACACAGACACATGGACCAGGACAAGCACAGACACGCAATGGTCACATACACACATAGATATGCCAACACAGATGGGGTATTCCAGGAATATCCTGTGATCAAAGTGAGGTGGGAAGGTTCACACAGTTTTAACTGCCTCAGTGGTGACTTTGCTGTCATCTCTCTCCCTTGTTTATTGGGATGGAGATAGAATGAGAATTGACTTGATCCTTAAAGAAGCTTGTAGCCACCAACAAGAGGGTCCCTAACTTAAACACAGAATCCCCGTCGTTCCGAGACAGACTTTCAGATGCGTGCGCAGGCACAGAAAGACACACGAGCATGCATACACAGGCGGTCTCTGTCCAGCCACTGCAGAGACCTCAAGCAGCAGGGAGTATTCGGAGAGGCCTCAGGCAGCAAGGAGGAATTGTAGGGTCCTCCGAGGGGAGGGATCTTTCATGACCTCAGGCAGTAGGGAGAGGCCTACAAGGACCTCAGGAAGTAGTGATAGTCCTGTGGGGACCTCAGGAACTGAGAAGGGGTTTACAAGGATCTTAGGAAGTTGGGAAGTATCTGCAGGGTCCCCAGGCAATAGGGAGCAGTCCCTGAGGAACTCAAGCATCAAGGAAGGGCTTTCAGGGGTCCTCAGACAGTAGGAAGGGGCCTCGGGGACTTCAGGCACTTAGGAGTAGATTTTAGAGACCTCAGGCAGCAGGGAAGGGTCTGCAGGGATCTCAGGCAGTGGGAGGGATCTGCAAAAGCTCTGGCAGTGGGAGGGGGCAGCGCACCTGAGCAAACACGTACCCCTTACCTGCACCCCGCAATCCTGCCCAGAAGCCAAGAGAAACAGATGGAGGCTCAATGAGGGTTTAGGGAGGGACCCAGAGCCCCTGAGAGGTAGTGAGGGGCCCACATGGACTCCCACCCCATTCCCACCTCTTTGCAGGAGGAAGACCACCCAACTCAGGAAAAAAGATGGCTCTAACAGTCAGAGAAAAGGCCCATTCCTACCTTCAGCAAAGCCCCTGGCCCCCACATACTCACCCAGGGCCCCCCGGGGACAGGGCACTGTGGCCAAGACGCCAAACTTGGTCTGGGGCCACCACACACCAGATCTCAGGGACTTGGGGCAGGCATCATAGAGCACTAGGGAGAGAGGAGGTGCTGAGGCAGGCAGCCAGAGTCTGAGACAAGTGGCAGCCACACCTACTGCCCCTCCACTGCCCAATCCAGGCCCACTGTCCACCACTCCTGCTGGCTTCTCAGGAGCTGGCCCGTCAGATTCTGTGACAGGTCAGCAAAGTACCTGGGGCAAACATGGGGATCCCTTCTTCCTCAGAAGCTTCCAGAGTTCCTACCCAAGGAGCCACATATGCTGCTAATACTTGGTGGAAGCATGCTGGAACCAGCCTTCTATGGGTGGAGCCTACTTACCCCGGCAGCCACTGGCTGTCACCTCTGCGAAGGGACTGTCACAGCTGTTGCACTGGCGGCCAAGTGCTCCTGGGCGACAGGGGCACTGCCCACTGTGGGGTGCACATGAGCGAGAGGTGGAGCCCACAGGGTAGCAGTCACATGGGAGGCATGAGTCACTGCCCCGTGGTCGGTAGTGGAACTCCTGTTTGAGGATGGGTCAGGGCCTGAAGTCAGAGGTCAGGGCTTGGGGAACGATCAAGGGCAAACAGTAAAGAGAATAGTGCTCAAAGGCCAGGAGGAAGACAGGGCCACAGATGAAGGCAAGGGAGGGGTTGGGGTCAAGGATGAGAGATGGCAAGTAGGTCAAAGGACATAGGTAAGAGGTTAAGCTCTAAGTCAGGCGACAGAGGTCAACAAGCTAGACAAGAATCACAGATCATGTCCAAGGAAGGGTTAAAAGGTCAGGGGCCAGGCACACCTTGCAGTGACACTGCCCATTTGTCTTGTTGCAGTTGGGGTCAAAGCCCTTGTGAACATCACAGTTGCAAGGGCCACAGGTTGGGCTCCCCCACCAGCCCCGTGGGCACTGCTGGTCCATCCTGGGGGTGAATAACCAGGAGAGATGCTTCCATGATATCTCAGTGACTCTCCCTGTCCCCACCAGGTCTCTCTATCAGCTTAGCCCCGAGCCTCTCACCTGTGCTCACAGTGGTGTCCAAAATAGCCACTTGCACAGTCACAGGTATAGCCATGGGGGGCTCCTGGAAGGTGCCGGCATGACCCCTGGTTCTGACAGGGGTTCAAGAGGCAGGCATCCACACAGCCTGGGCCGTAGTAACCTGCAGATTGGATTAGGAAGTTCAGAACACTGGTCACAGAGCATGGTAGGCAATAGGCATCTGTCCTTCTCCGTCCCTCCCTCCTGCAGGCCATCTAGATCCCCCATCTTTGTCATGGGCCCCTGGCTCCTACCCAGATCACCCTTCCCCCAACCCTCTCAAGGCCCACCTGGCCGGCAGGTGCAAGAAAAGGTCTGCCAAAGGTCTCGGCAGTCGGCGTGGGGTGGGCAGGGCCCAGAGGCACAGGCGTTGGTCACAACACAGCCAGGTTCCACATTCACTCGGTGGCTGGGGGGTAGCAGGGCCGGGGACCCCGAGGGTGTGGAGCCAAGCCACACCCCCTATGGACACAGCCAGCAAGGGGTGAGACCCATGTCAAGGCACAAGTCCTGCAGAGCCAGCCACCCGGTATGATAACCTCCGACATGCAATCTCCCCAAGATCCCCAAAAACACTCAGGCCCCCCATAATATCCCCAGTTCAGTCTCCCTGATTGGGGTCCCTGTGGAATCCTAATTGTGCTGTCTCTGACACAGATCCCTAATGACCCTTGATCATCTAAGACAGACTCTTACCTCTAACACAACAGAAAGGCTTCACTTATCTCTGATAACTCTGGGTCACCCATGCCCTCATGCCAACCCCCACTTGAATGTTTCCTTTCAGGTCCAAGGAGCCCCTGACCTCTGGCCACTGACCCTAATGCCCCATATCACATTCCCATGCTGACCCCCACCTGGATACAGCCGACCAGACCCTGAGGAACTTCCTCCTTACTGCTGGAGGGCAGGCCTCCCACGTAGAGTTGCTTTACCTTCAGGCCCTGCAGTTCACTCCCCACCGCCATGGTGTCCTGGAGAAGAAGGAACAGTCAGCACTGGGGGTGGGGGGGCCTGAGGAATGCCTGCCATACCCTAGAGTCGGTCTTGGCCTTCTTCTAGCCCTGCGCGACCACGCTTTGTCCCTCTGTGCCAGAGCAATGCTTTGGGAATGAGCAGCTCCCAAGCATGGAGAAGCCGCTGGGGCGTGGGTGGCGTGTGATAGGAAAGTTTCAGTCAAAAGCCGGTCAGGCCGGTCCGATGGTAGTGGGTTAGCAGAACTTATTAACATCAGTGTCACTAAAGTTGGTATTCAACCCCTCACTGCTAAATTTGGCTAAAAAAAAAAAAAAAAAAAGAAGCAGCAGCCAGCCTTAGATAGGCCCTTCCCTCCTAGACCCAGTGCAGACCTTGACATTCTTTGATCTTGAGCTGGTGGGTAGGGATCAGGGGAGAGATCAGAAGGGGCTTCTGGGAGTCAGGCCTTTGCTAGCTACAGAGGTTCCACAACACCAAGCCAGAAATCTAGGTGGGCTCCCTGATGTAAGGAAGGCCTGACAGTGGCCCAACTGGCTGGTGAGAAGTGCTCCTCAAGGATATAAGGAGGGGGACTAGGGGAAGAACATTATTCTTGGTGCAGTGCAGGGAACTGAGAGGAGCTGGACTAGAGGTGGGGTCAAACAAGGCAGGTCTGGTTGGAAGGCTGAGAACACACTACCCCAGAGTCAGAGGTCAGACCTGGAAGAGGCTAAAGTCCAGTGAGACCATGAGGACATAGTGGCCACGCTGGCCACCTGGTTCCTCTTGCAACTCCAGCCGCAGATCATGCCATCGGCCATCACTGACAGTCACCTGGTCCAGGAGAAGGTGGGCAGCACGGCCCAAGCCTTTGGTCACCGTCACAGACAGCAACCCCCGATCTAGCTGTGGGTAGAAATGCACAGCCATTGAGTTAGAACCCCAAGTTGGGTTGGGGTGAGAAGTGAGATCAGAGGGCTCAGAGGTCAATATCAGAACTCAGAACATTGATCCAGGCTATACCTGGCGCCCAGGGCACTGTGCCAGGGAACGGCATGTTGCTTATATCAAGTCAGGGGGCAGAGGATAGAACCAGGGTTGTGGACTGGTACAGCTAGCATAAGAGGGAGCTATGCTGGTACCCTGTACCTGCAGAGGATACCATCATGGGGAAGAGAATCAAGGGTCAGGGTCCAGAGCAGGGTCACATGTGGTCAGGAAACCCGGCAGAAAAGTATGTTGTGTGACCAGGCAATAGGCCACAAGAATATTGCTGATGGCATTAGAGGTTGAGATCAGAAGGGTAGACACACCTGGCAGAGAAGCGTGCTGTGTGGCCCAGCCTGCACTTGCATCAGGACCCCCTGTGTTGCCCGTGTCCGAAATGCCAGCCCCAGGTACCATGGCACAGACACAACCATGTCATTTCCAAAGTTCCAGCTCAGTGTGCCGTTGCCACGAAAATGGTGGGGATGGGCCATGGCTGAGGGGATAAGAGAAGCAGGGTCACAGGCTGAAACCCAGAAATAGACCTTACCCCATACACCCTCCTGCCCCATGCTGCCCACTCACTGAGCCGACAGTCTTTGCCACCAAAGCCCACAGGGCAGTCACAGCTGAAGCCACCCCAGTGCTCTGAGCAGAAGCCACTGTTCTTGCAGGGGCCTGAGTCACAAAAGTGCAGCTTGGCCTGGCAGCCTAGGAGAGGAAGGCACATGGAGGATATGAGGACATGGGGTGGGGAGCATGAGTGCTGGGGGATATTGGTGCTCAAAGGGGCCAAAAGAGGCCATGATTCTAGCCCCATGTTCTCTCAGAGGGTGGGATTGGTAGGAATCAGGCCTTAAAGGCTGAGCTGTAGCATCATGCTTGTCATCAAAGGAAACGGGGTTGAAGTTACCCTATGTAGTCGTCCACTCCCTCCCTTTGATTGGGACAGGGCCATGTGCTGGGCTCATGGGAGCTTCAAGCCTACCTGCCATGGTGCCATTGTTCGCGACAAAGGCCGCCATGTCCACTTGGCGGCCATCAATGTGCAGGTCCCGCATACAGCCGATGAAGTCCTTGTGGGACACGGGGAAGTTCTCGGGGAGGTTGGGGACACCCCCCAGGAGCAGAGGGCCCGTCAGGTCCAGGGACCTGGGGGTCAGGGGTCTGGGTCACTGGTGGGACTGGGACCAGAGTAAGGTTGCTCCTGGGGGCCATAGGAAGTAGAGGGTAGGACTCTGAGGCTAGGGAGGTTGAGGAGGAAGGATAAGGCCAGGCCAGGGAAGGAGTTAGGGCCTTACTTCAGGTGTGGGGGTACAAAGGAGAGCTCAAGATGGGCAGATGCTCTGGGGAAAGACAGGGAATGGATTGAGGGCAACAATGAAGGAACGTGGCACCTGGGTGACTGAGGTAGGGGATAGAGAAGTGGAGAGTCTGGGAGCCTGGGTATGAGATTAAGGGGCAGGGGGGGGACCTGGGGCATTAGAGAGACTAGGGTTGGGAAGTGGAGGCTTTGGAGGACTGGTGCCTGGGGTCTGTGTGTGGAGCAGGGAGTCTGCGGTAGAATACAGGATTGAGGGCTAGGGTGAATATGCTTTCAAGGCCTTTGAGGGAAGAGGGGAATCTCATGGTTTGAGGAAAGGATAGGGAGTTTGGCAGGCTGGGGTGGGGAAGAGGGTATATGAAGGGTTGGGGTGGGCCTTGGTAGGCAGAGAACATGGGCACCAGGGGGTGGGGGCCTCACTTCTTGGAGCTTGTTTGCACACCAGCAGCCGCACATGAGTAGTTGCCGATTTCAGCACCAAACTGCAGAGCTATGGCCACATCACAATCATCCACACTCAGCACAGCCACCTTGTCCTTAGAGGGACCCTGAGTACCCCCTAGGGCATCTGTCCGGGGCTAAAGGACGAGGCACAACAATCAACAGTGCCCCTAGGGTAATCCCTGAGGAGCAGAACTCAGCATCCCAACTTCCCTCATACTCCATGCCAGGGGTGGTGCCCACCTTGTTGTAGTATCTCATATGCACTGTATGCCACTGCCCGTCACTTAGGCCCCCTGGAACTGTGGGGCTGACCACTGTGTTGGACTCACCTGTGGAGGAGATGCAAGTGGAGAGTTATATGGGACAGCTGAATCACCCCACCCCCACCCCAGTCATATAGGCGCAGCTACTCCCAGAGTCACTATGGATGCATCAGATCAGTCCCCCCACTGTTGACCACACTGGCTGGACCAGAGTGCCTTCGAACAGATAGAAAAATCACACACTTCTTGAAGAGATGGATCTTCCCACAGGGAATGGTCAGGGAGCTGTCTTCACTATTGTCTGTTTGGCATGGAAGTGGGTGTTCAGGTGCAGTTAGGCAAACCTGAGGGGACTTGGGGCTTGCATCTTCCAGCCACGTGACGTACACATGCACCCACTCGCCGTCACACACAACCGCAGGGGCACCCACCCGTGGAATATGTGAGCCGAACTTGGCCAGCCACTAGCTCCAGGGCCAGGAAGTCATGCTTCTCGTTCAGGCGCCCGTTGTAGAAGAGTAGCCCGCTCGGCTGCACCGTCGCGAACCTGGGTGGGGTGGGCGGGGGGAGTCAGGAGCCGGATACCACCTCACACCCACCATCCCTGCGAGGTTTTGGGGGCGCCTGCCCAAGCTAGGGCGGGAGAGGAAACGACAAGGGACCGCTGGCCCGACGGGAACGCCAAGAGCGGGCGTCAGGGGAGGGGGCGGTGTCCTGTGGGGACGTGAGGATGGGGCAGTCGGGACTGAGTCAGGGTCACACAGGTAGGGGAGGCATGGAGGCGCGCAGACACGGGCGGGCACCTACGAGAGGGACAGCGTGAGGTGGAAGCGCTGCCGCAGGCCACGGAACATGACGAAGGAACTGGGCGGGAAGGAGCGTGCTGCCACCTCGCAGCGCGGGCCCTCGAAGGCGCCGCCTGCCGGGCACTGGCAGCGAAAGCCGCCGTTGGGCGCATCGGTGCAGGTGCCCCCGTTGCGGCAGACGCCCGGCACGCAGCGACCGGCCTCGGTGTCCAGCTCGCAGTCTTCTCCTGGGGGCCAAGCCGCGGTCAGAGGCGGTCGCAACCACGCCGCCCCTCTTCGAGTGGGCCCAACGTCCGCGCGCGCCCAGGCCAGGTTCCAAGACCCCTGAGGGGCGGAGCTCCCTCTGCGCACGGCCGCTCCCGGCCTGGCCCCACCCACTCCCCCGCCCGGCTCGGCCCCGCCCCGCCCCGCCCCGCCCCGCCTCACAGCCCGGCCCGCAAAGACCCCCATTCCCTCCCGGCCCGAGGCGCCCCCGGGTCCCAGCTCTACGGCTTCCGATCTTACCCCGCCCGCACCAGCCCCTATGGCCTCAAAAGTGATGCCCACTTTGACTCAAACTGTATAAAAGCGATTTATGTAACCAAAACGTTTGTACCCCTGTAATGCTCTGAAATAAAACTACATTTAAAAAAACGTGATGCCCAGTCCTCACTGGCATTGCAGCCCCGCCCCAAGCTCTGCGCTGCTCACCGGTGAACGGTGGGCGGCAGACGCAGGTGTAGCCGCCCTCGCGCCGCGCGCAGGCTCCGCCGTTGCGGCATGGGTTCGAGTAGCAGAGGTCTAGCTCCGTCTCGCAGAAGTCGCCCGTGAAACCGGGCGGACAGCGGCAGCGCAGGCCGGCGATGGGCTGGATGGGTCGGAAGAGCGTGGAGGCAGAGGCCAGGAAGGGCGCGGACGAGTCAAAGCGGAGCACGGACACGCATTTCATATAGTTCTCACAGGGCTCGCGCAGGCACACGTTGTCATCGAAGGGCAGGACGTCGAGCAGCGAGCGGGCCGCAAGCGCGGCGCGGCGCACGTACAACTGCTCCTGCAGCTCCTCGGAGCTGAACCAGGGCCCCGCAGCGCCCGCCGCGGCCCCACGCGGAGCCAGCGCGGAGAAACTCACGTTGAGCACGGTGCCCCCCACGTCCGTGTCGTTCTGGATGTTGAAGATGAAGACATCCTCGGCTGGCGTGGCGAGCACCGCGGCCACTCCTTCAAGGAAGTGGCCCAGCAGCGGTGACAGGAAGCGTTCTTGCCACATGTTCTCGAGGCGCACAGTCAGGCTGTTGGCCAGCAACTCCTCCGTGATGATGACCACACGCAGCACACACTGTGCTGTCACACTGTGCAGGCCGTCTGCAGGTGGGGGCAGGGGCAGTGGTCAGCAGGTGCCCCTCCCTGGCACACAAGAGGGCTGGGGCCAATGACAAACCAGGCCCCAAGCACCTCTGAGTCAACAGGCTGACCCCACCAGGACACAAAGGAGTCGGGGGCTAGTGACCACCAGCTCCCCCAGCGTCAGAGGGTGCTGTTTCCTTCCCCAACCTCCATCACAAAGCAAGATCTGGGACAGGGATCAACCAACCCCACAGCACGCCCATAGGTTAGCAAGTTGCTCTCCCAACAGCACACAAAAAGTCAACTAAGTGCTCAGTAACTCACACTTCCCCAAGTTATAATAGTCAGCAGGCCACCCTACTCAGGACACAAAGAGTACCTAGGGCCACTGGCCACCCATTCTCAGACACCACCCCATTCTCCCCTACCCCAGCATAGCAGAACTAGAAAAACATTCCCTCCAAGAAGCAAGGATTCTGGGTCAGAGATCACCCACTGCCTATCTCTATCTCTGGTCAGCAAACTGCTCTCTTGCAGCACCAGAAGGGGGCCTGGCCCTGTGAACACCCAATGACTCAATGCCATCCCTCAGTAATCTGGGTCAGCAAACTCCAGGATATTCTCTCTCTCTCTCTCTCTCATGCATGCACACACACACACCAGCATTCTTGAGTTAGCAAGTTGTCCACTACTCCATGTCTGGGTCCTGTAGTTTCAGTGGCCACCAGAGAGATGAAGATGAGGTGGTTATCTGCCTTGCTCACCTTGTCTCCACACCCTAGCACACACTGGGTGGTCAATATGCATAGGTTGTTGAGTAAATTGAGGGATAAATGAATGCTGTGCCTTCTCTGGCGGTGCCAGGAGTCCCTGCTCCAGATTTGAGAAATGAGCACCAGTAAAGCCTGTCTTCCAACTTTTGCAGCCTCCAGTAGACAGGACTTGAAGAGCCTCTCCTGCCTGCACCCTCCTATTAGAGAGGGGTTCGTGAAAGACTGAAGCAGAGGAGGCAGGAACGAGGCAGGTGGACCTCTGGACATTTTTCCAAAGAGCAGGGCCCCGGACAGCCCTTTGGGCAGCACTCAGGCCAATTTGGACCCACTCTCAGCCTGAAGCTGCCATAGGAAGCTGCTGTTTCTGACCACTAAACTACCGGTCTTCTTTTCCTGCACAGATGGGGTGACAGTCTAATTGGATCCAAAGTAACCCCTTCATCTGAACATGGGCATGATGTAGACTGGCCCATACTGGCTTTGTCTGGGACCTCCAGAGAATCACCCTAGGACCTCTGGCATTTTGTGGGGAGGGGAGCTATCCCTAGTGTAGCATATGGTTCTTTACAGTCTTTATGGGGTCTGCTAGATGCCTTGGAATCTTTGGGATTCTGTAGAGACTGTTCAAGCAGAGTCCCTGTGAGGTCTATGGCAGATCTGTGGGTTGCAGGGACCCAACACTTAAGGGAATCTTGGAAGGCTTGGAAATCCCTCTTTGGTTTGAGGTGCCCTTGTGGAGTTCCTGAGGCCCTGACAGATTGAGGTCACTGGGTCACTTGCCTGCTCCCTGTTACTCACCTGTGACAGTCACCAACATGGAGGCCACCAGTGGGCGGTTGTTGTCTAGCTTTCGGCTGAGTCTCAGCTCCCCACTGGTCTGGTTAACCACCAGCAGCTGCAGCTCATTGCCACGCTCAAAGGAGTAGAAGAGGTGGTCAGAGACATCAGGGTCATAAGCTGGGATGCGCCCAATGATGCCCGAGGGAAAGGTGTCTGAGTGATTGGATACATAGTTGTTGAAGAGGATCTGGAAATTATTGAGCACAGGACTATTGTCATTCTGGTCAACCAGGCTGACATGCACAGTGGCCCGGCTGACTAGAGGAGCAGACGTGGCCTGCACCACAATCACATATTCCTGGCGAGCCTCATAATCCAGGTCAATGAGTGCTGTCAGTTCTCCAGAGAAGATGTCCATTTGGAACAGCTCAGGGATGTTCCCCTCCACAATCTGGTACATTATATGGGCATTGGGGCCTTCATCAGGGTCCACTGCGGTAATCTGAGCCACCACTGAGCCCACAATGCTGTTCTCCTTCACCCGCACCTCAAATTCCTCAGCTGGGAAGACGGGTGCATTGTCATTCACATCCTGCACCGTAACCTGGATACTGACTGGAGTCCGCAGTGGGGGCACGCCTCGGTCCACTGCATAGGCAGTCAATTCATACACTGGCACTGCCTCCCGGTCCAGCCGCCTCACTGTTCGGACAATGCCAGAGGTGGGCTCAATGGTAAAATCTCCATCCCCATCTTCCCCATTCTGGAAAGTGTACTGGACCCGGCCATTGGCATGAGCATCCCGGTCAGTGGCTGAGATCTGCAGGACACTGGTGAAAGGTGGGGCATCCTCAGAGACCAACCCTGTATAGTGGGAGGCCACAAATTGTGGAGCATTGTCATTCACATCATTGACCATCACCTCCACATAAGTGGTGTCTGCCTTCTGTGGAATGCCATTGTCCCGAGCTGTAATAGCCAGTGTGTAGGTTACCTGATCCTCATAGTCCAATGCAGCCTGCAACGTAATGGCCCCTGAGTCTGCATCAATGCGGAACTGAGGCAGGTTGTCCTCTAGGAGATAGGTGATACGAGCATTCTCACCCACATCATCATCAGAGGCGCTGATGACCACTACGGTGCTACCTACTGGCCGATCCTCATTCATGCTCACTGAATAGTGGGCACTTTGAAAGACAGGCCGGTGAGTGTTGGCATCTGTGATGTTGATGTGCACATAGCAGTGATCATGAAGGGCACGGTCAGATGCAGTTAGTACCAGCTTGAAGTAGCGTTCCTGCTTGTAGTCCAATGGCAGAGCTAGTGTCACAAGACCCACACCTCCCTGGGTGCTGATGGCAAAGCGATTACGGGTGTTGCCACCTGTGATCTGGTAACTGATGGCACTGTTGGCATCACGGTCTACAGCGGTCACACTGACCACACTGGTGCCCACAGCTGCATCTTCATTCAGCCGTAGGTGGTATTCCTTCATCGTGAACTCAGGCCGATTATCATTGACATCCAGCACAGTCACTGTGACGCTGGCTGAGGCAGAGAGTGGGGGTGAGCCATGGTCTCTGGCCTCCACACCAAAGAAGTAATGCTCCACAGACTCACGGTCCAGGGGACCACTCACAGAGATCCAGCCGGTGGCGCTGTTTATCACAAAAGGAGTATCAGGTGCCACACCAGTTAGGGAGTACTCCAGTCTGGCGTTCTCCCCATGGTCAGCATCCACCGCCTGAATGTGGATGACTGAGTGGCCCAGGGGTGCATTTTCCAGGACAGAGACCTGAAAGGGCGTGCTGACAAAGATAGGAGTGTGGTCATTGATGTCCACCACCTGGATGCTGGCCAAGCCCGTGTTGTTGGACAGCGGTGGCCGGCCGGCATCCTGCGCGCGGATGCGCAAGGCATACTCTCTCTCTGCCTCAAAGTCCAGAGGTGCCACCACCTGTATCTCGCCCGTGAGGCTGTCAATGGCAAAGTGGCCTCGGCTATTTCCGCTGATGATGTTGTAGTGCACCAATCCGTTGGCATCCTTGTCCCTGTCGGTGGCCGTGACGCGTAGCACCACCGTGTGGGGGCGCACATCCTCGCGTACTTGCGCCACGTAGCGCTTCTCGCTGAACTGGGGAGCGTTGTCATTCTCGTCCAGCACGGTTATGTGTACACGCACAGTGGCAGAGCGCGGCCCGGGCTCCTGGCCCTGGTCGCTGGCTTCCACGACCAGCTCATAGCTTTCCATGTGCTCACGGTCCACGCGGCCGCTGGTGCTGATGAGGCCCGAGCGTGGATCAATCTCGAAGGCAGCAGCGGCGGCGGTGCGCGCAGCAGGCGGACCCACGAAGCGGTAGCGCAGGTTGGCGTTGGGGGGCGCGTCGCCATCCGTGGCGCGCAACTGCAGAATGGGGTAGCCCTCCTCTACATTCTCACGAAGCGTTTCCCGGTACTGCGCCTGCTCAAAAACTGGCGAGTGGTCATTGCGATCGGCTACTGTCACTGCCACCATGGTGGTAGCCGAGAGGCGCGGCGAGCCGTGGTCCTGCGCGGTCACACGGAGGTAGTGACGCTCCATGCTCTCGCGATCCAGAGCGGCCGCCGTGCGGATTAGGCCGCTTTGAGGGTCGATGCTGAACAGCTCCAGCGAGCGGCTGTTCATGAGCGCCGCCAGCGAGTAGACTAGGCGGCCGGCCTCGCCAGCGTCAGGGTCTTGCGCAACCACGCGTAGCACAGCAGTGCCTGCCGCCTCGTTCTCGGGCACCAGCGTCTGGTAGTTGTACTGCGGAAACTGCGGGTGGCGGTTTGCAGCGCGACGGAAGCGTGCTCGGTTGCCTGAGGGTATTCTCCACGCTTGAGGACTGGCCCAGATCCCCGGGGGGCGCGGCCCCCGGCGCTGCGGAAGGAAGCGGCGGCGGAAGAGACCGCGGGAGCGCATGCGCTCGGGCGCCGAATCGGGAGCTGTCCGAGACTCGCGGGGTGCTGAAGCCGATGTAGGAGCTGTCCTCGCCGTGCACGGTGCTGAATCCAACCGGGGAACAGATCCCGCAGCCCCGGGAAAACAGTCCCGCCAAGGGGCTGTCCCCTCCGCTCGGGATATCGTGGCTCTCTCGCCCTGAGCCCTGCGCCCTGGTGCCCACAATTCCCCGCAGCAGCGGGCAGCTCCCCCTCTTTTGTAGGCGCCTGTCCCAGCGTTCCACTGGGAGGACACCGGCTTGGGACCACGGGCCCGAGATAGGAGGTCCAAAGGGAGGGGCGAGCTGTTCCCTGGGCTAGGGAACCCTGGGGAAAGAGCCTCTGGCGACAGACTACCTCTTCGCAAAGGTCCAGTCCGCCCGCAAGAGGGGACCTCTGGGCGCCAGTATAACAGAGACCCTGGTACCTGTCCTGTCTCTTGCCCGCGGCTGTCCAATGCCTGGACCCCATGTTTAGTCCTCAGCTCCGCGTTCAGTTGCTCAGGAGGCCCTTGACCACTCCGGGCGCTTTGCCTTCTCCCTCGGAGCCCCACAAAGACAGGCTCCCTGACTTCCAAGCCAGGGCTCCCTTCCTTCCGGACCCCGGGCGGCTCCGGACAAAGAGCTAAGGCTCTGCCGCCGATCTGCGCCCCTGGTCCCGTAGAAGCAGCTAACCCCGGGTCCCAGCCCTGGTGCCCACCGCCTCCCAGCTCCTCCCGGCTGAGGGGGAACAAAGAGAGGAAGAGAAGGACCAGGAGTATGGGGGTCGATAGTCCCCCGAGACTACGCCACGGCAGCCGCCTCGCCATCACCCCCCGCCTCCCTGTACGGCCTCCACCGCCCCCCGCCCGGGTTCGAGCCTTGGGCCGGCCCCGCTGCTCGGGCCCCCTCCCGGGCCCCTGCCGCCGCCCCGGCCGCCCGCCCCTCGGCCTGTCGCTCCCCGCAGCCGCCGCCCTCTGGGCACCATCTACTCCCCGGCCAGAGCCTCTTTGGCGTGTGGCCCCGGCTTTTGCAGCCCCCACCACAGCATCCCCGACGCTGCTGCCGCCTCCCGCCGCTCCAACATGGCTCCCGGATGCCCGATGGTTCGCTCCACCTCTGCCCCGACACCCCAAACCCAGTGGTACAACCCGTGGCGCATGGCAGGTTTGACGGCCGAAGCCGTTGCCGCCATCTTTACTAAGGACAAAAGTGCTGCTCGCGGTGCTGAACAGAGCGCAGAGCACCGCCGGCTTGGGTCCGCCCTCCCCGCCTCCCTCCTCCGTCTCCCTCCCCCTTCGAGGGCGCTGTCCCAGCTCCGTCTCCCAGCCTTTCTTTGGCTTGCGGATCTCTCGTCCCTCTTCCTGAACACTGGTTCCGAATCGTGTCCCGAATTTTGGTCTGAAAATTTAGTGCCCATAAACGTTCTCACTGCTCTGGGCGGGGGTACCATGTGGAATCCTGGGGCGGGCGACGATGGACGAACAGGGGCCTGGGGCGCCAGCAGCCCGAATAGCTTTAATCGATCAGCAGTTTTAACTTATAAACATGTCGTGACCATCTGCTTGTTTGGAGCGCCCCTGTGGGGCAGAGACCAAAGATGACCCTACCGAGGAGGGAAGAGAGACCAAATTCTTCCCCTCCTTGCCAGCCCCCAGCAGTCTCCTGGGCTCGGGGCTCCTCCACTGGAGGGTACACCCCCTCTCCAGGTCATGGGTCCCGAGTGCTCTGGGATGCCACGTGGAGCCCGGAGTAGCCCCACGGCGGCAGAACCAGCTTCCTCGGATCCCCGCCCCTCGCCTGCCACGACCGCATCCCTTAACCCCTTGAAGGGACTGACAGAAGCTCAGTCCTCCCCCCTCCTCCTTGATCAATCCAGCTCTCCCCGCGCGGTGCAACTCCTGGAACGCGCCGGTTTCAGCTGGCCAATGGTGTTCTTGGCGCAACAGACGTCACAGAAGACAGGCGGGGACGAGGGGTGAACGTGGAGCATTCCAATCAGAGAGTCATTGTTTCTATTGGCACAATGGGAGGCCCCGCCCCTCACAGCAGGATTCATTGTATGCAGGAAGGGGACTCCGCGGGTTCCAGGCTAGCCTGGAGAGATGACCCAGGTGGCACTATATGGACCAGCCTCCAAAGGCGGCATCGAGAGCGGGCTGCAGTGCCAGATACAGAAAACGCGGGCATCCTGGCACGGAGGAGGAGGTCAGGACCAGAACCCCTAGAAGGCTCCACTGGGTGCGGCTCCCCCGACCGGGTAGATCCTGCTTCAAACCGGCGAAGAACTCCTGGCCAAGGCCTCTGGCCCGCCCCGGGTACCTATGACATCACCACCAACCAATCAGACGGTGCATTCTCTCACCCCTTGACTTCTCCGCTTCCCAGAGACAAGGCTCCTGCGGGTTCCACCTCCCGAGCGCCCCATGTGGCTACCGAGAACAGGCCGGTGGGCTCGTTGTGCCCTCCGGCGTTTCTGAATGCGAAGACCTCTCCAGAATCAGAGCTCCACGCCAGACACGCGGGCTGGATTCCTACAGGATTATGCGTGCAGGTGGAGGATGTGTAGAGACACTTAGGGCGGAACTCCGTTGGATCCGGGCTAGTCGGTGCAGGGGCTGGAGAAGCGAGACCCTGAGACCCTGAACGTGCTTTTGAGAGTACTATGGCTCTCGGCTCTCTGGGTCCACAATCTAGTGAGTAGAGGGCACACCTTACGCCAAAGAAGTAGGGTACAGACAGGGCATTAGTGGGGGAGGAGTGCTGGGGTTCCAGAGGAGGCACCTGAGTTACCTTAGAGAGCTGATGCCTCCACTGTTGTCCTCCGGTTGTGACTGCTGTTCTATGGAGCCCCTCCCCCTATTTGCACTCACCCGTGCCCCACCGCCAGTGGCAGCTCCTAATGCACTCCCTGTAAAGTCAAAAACCAAATGTTGATGACAGCTCCTAAGAACATAGTAAGACCCCTACATAGTTCATTCTCGTTCTCCTCTCATTAGTTCCCAGGTAGAGCCCCCCCCAGGGGGCCCAGAGACCTGGATTTGAGGCTGCTTTGGGACTGATACAGAGAAGATCAGAATACCAGAGGGCAAAGGTGTGGCTGTTCTTAGCCTCTAACACTTCTCAGACTCTCTCTTTCTCCCCACCCTGAGTTTTTCCTCCCCACCCTGGCTTTTCCTCCCCACCCTGAGTTTGCCCTCTCCCAGATTCTCTTGTACCCTTCCAGGAGAGTAGGCCAGAAGACCTTGCCATACTGTCCAGCTCAATTACCCTATGGTTCTTTGACCTCACTGAGATCTCCAGTCTGTTGTTCACCTCCTCAGCTCCTTGATCTTTACCATTAGCCTTATAGAATCCAATGCTATAACAACTCTCCTGGCCAGGCGTGGTGGTTCACACCTGTAATCCTAGCCCTCTGGGAGGCTGAGGTGGGAAGATTGCTTGAGGTCAGGAGTTCGAAACCAGCCTGAGCAAGAGCACCATTTACTAAAATAAGAAAGAATAGCAGACAACTAAAAGTTATATAGAAAAAATAGCTGGGCATGGTGCTCATGCCGTAGTCCCACCACTCAGGGGGTGAGGCAGGATTGCTTGCTCAGGATATGAGGTTGCTGTGAGCGGTCTGACACCTGGCACTCTAAGCCCAGAACGAGCAAACTCTGTCTAAAAAAAAAAAAACGACTGGGTAACTCACGCCTGTAATCCTGCACTCTGGAGGTTGTTTAAGTCAGCCCCCCCCCCCCCTGGAGTTCGAAACCAAGCCTGAGCAAGAGCGAAGACCATCTCTACTATAATAGAAAAATTAATGGAAACTAAAAAATATGAAAAAATTAGCCGGCATGCGTGGCATGCCTGTAGTCCAGCTCTCGGGAGGCTGAGGAGATGTTGATCAGGAGTTTAGGTTGCTGGAGCTAGGCTGATGCAGCGGCACTCACTCTAGCCTGGCAACAAAGTAGACTCTGTCTCAAAAAAAAAAAAAAAAGATGACTTTAAGCAAAGATTTTTAACAGGATATAAAATGTATTAATATAAGATATTCATAAATGATTTACATTAAGAACTTCCTTTCATCAAAAGACATTTAAGGCCGGGCGCTGTGGCTCACGCCTGTAATCCTAGCTCTTGGGAGGCCGAGCGGCGGATTGCTCAAAGTCAGGAGTTCAAAACCAGCCTGAGCAAGAGTGAGACCCCGTCTTACTATAAATAGAAAGAAATTAATTGCCAACTGATATATATATAAAAATTAGCCGGGCATGGTGGCGCATGCCTGTAGTCCCAGCTACCCTCGAGGCTGAGGCAGGAGGATCGCTTGAGCCCAGGATTTGAGGTTGCTGTGAGCTAGCTACGCCACGGCACTCAACTCACTCTAGCCTGGACAACAAAGTGAGACTCTGTCTCAAAAAAAAAAAAAGACATTTAAAAGTGGGAGAAGAGGTCAGCTCACACCTGTAATCCCAGCACCTTGGGAGGCCAAAGTGAGAGGATTGCTTGAGGCCAGGAGTTTGAGGTTGCTATGCGCTAGGCTGATGCCATGGCACTCTAGCCTGGGCAACACAGATTCTGTCTCAAAAAAAAAAAAAAGAGTGGGAAAAATATTATAAGATATAAAACCCAAGGACTCATATCCTGAACACATACTATAAATCAATAAAAAATAGACAAACCAATAGATACATGGGCAAGAGATTTGAATAGGCACTTCATAAAAAAGAATGTTCAAATAGCTGTAAACTAAAGAAGCTATCAACTTCTTTAGTCATCAGGAAAATGCAAATTAACAAATAAATACCACTATACTCTTGCCAGAATGGCTAAAATAAAAATGACGATACTAACTTTGGGAAAAGATATGAGAAGCTGGAAGTCTTAGACACTACTGTAGAAGTATATGTTGGTGCAATTATGGATATGGAAAACTATCTGGCAGTATCTGCCTATGACCCTGCAATTCCACTGTTGGGAATATACCTTCCCCGCTCCCCACAAAATGCATATGAGCAACAAGAAGATATGGCAAAAATCCACATGAGCAACAAGCCAGGGGCCATACATTGTTTATTCTAGATGCCAGCACTGGGACAGAGGGCACAGCATAGCCTGCAGTTCCCAGGAGATCGGTGTGTGCATCATGACAGCAAACAGAGCAAGTCACAGAGGCTGTCAAAGTCCCTCCCTCAGCTTCCTGGAGATCTGTGCTTTTCACTGAATTACACTATGTCCTGGTAGCACTATTTGTAATAGACAAAAATTGGAAAAGTTATCAACAGCAGATGGCCAAATGAGAGTATATTCCACACAGCATTGCGAACGAACAAACTGCAACCACATGCTATAACATAGTTGAATCTCAAAAACTTAATGGTGAATGAAAGAAACCAGACACAGAATTTATACTATATGATCGATTTATATAAAGTTCAAAAAATAGGCAAAATTTATGATAACCTGTGGGGAGAAGGGAGGAGTCAGTGATTAAGAGTGATTAAGTGGGTTTTGGGGACTGGTGACATTCTATTTCTTCACCTGAGTGCTGGTTGTGTTAGCATTTCACTGTTGTAACTCACTAAGCCATCCTCTTTGAATACTGTACTTTCCATAGTGTTATTCTTCCATAAAATCAAACAAATTGTCCTCATTTACTTGGAACCTTAGTCTGTATCTTTTGGGGACCAAGCAGGTGGATGATCTTTACTCCATCCATCACCCTAGGGTGGCCTTACACACAAGCAGCTTGTGGTCCAGGTCATGTTCCACAGACATGGTACCAGCACTTTTAGGCACCCACTTCTAGGTGCCACTTCTGACCCAGTAATCAGCCCAACCTCCACTCACTGTACCCCAAAACCTGAGTTTTTCTCAACCCCACCCAAACATTTTCTTTCTTTGAAGTGTCCCTTGTTCTCTCACTACCCTTTCTCCTGCCTAGCCACACCTCACACCTGCCACCCTTCAAGCAGCCAGAGGGGTCTTCTCAGTTCCCTCCGAGACGAATTCTCTACCTAATCATAATCTGCCTTCGTGGCTGTTAACTTTGTGTTGTGAGACCATCATCAGGGTGTTTGCTGAGGGGGTCCTGGAGTCCCGCTTGCTACCAGGAGCCAGCATTTATGTAACTTTGTCAGCTGGCGCTCCTGCATTCCTTACCAACACACGCAAGGGCCCACTGGACAACCCTGCAGAAGTGGGCAGGGGTTTCTGCCATGGAGCCATACTTTGTTTATTCTAGGTGTCAGCGCTGGGACAGAGGGCACAGCGTAGCCTGCAGTTCCCAGGAGCTCGGTGTGTGCATCATGACAGCAAACAGAGCAAGTCACAGAGGCTGTCAGAGTTCCCTGCCTCAGCTTCCTGGGACCTGTGCTTTGCACTGAATGACACTATCTCCTGAGAACAATGGTTCCCTGCCTTCAGCACCCTGATAAAAAAGTTGTGACAGGAAGTCAGTGTCCTTGATTCTGGATGTGAAAGGGAGGCAGAATGTCTCCAGGATGAAGAGCACCCAGGTTGTGCCCCACAGAGCTTTACTGGGGGCCGAACGCTGCCAGCCCCTCCTCCAGTGCAGGGAGCCTGTGTGCTCAGCCTCTGACAGGCTCCACAACAGAGGTGTCCCCACCAGACCCCGTGCCTCACTCCACCAACTTCCCATCACATGTGCCCACCTCAGCTTCCTGAGAGCCTTTCCCGGGGCCCCCACTCCTAGCCCTGGCCTCCCTGTGCTGCTTGCTGCATTAGATTCTCGTTGGGAGACTATCAGCCCCCGCCTTCAGCATCCCATTGATGTCCCAAAAAGTCATAACCAGAAATCACAGTGTCAATCATGTGTGGAATCACCTGATGGAAGAAGAATTTGGGGCAAAAAATGATGGGAAATGATGAAAACCACTCGAGCTGGGTGCAGTGGCATGTGCCTATATTCCTAGTTACGTGGGAGGCTGTGGCAGGATTGCTTGAACCCAGGAGTTCAAGACAAGCCTGGGCAACACAGCAAGACCCCAGTCTCAAAATAAAAACAAAACTACTTCTGACTGGTGTCTGCATGTGGGGGGTTCCTGACTCTCCCCACTTATAGTGAGAGCCTCTTTGCTAACTTTGGAACCCATAAGCAGAATGAAGTTTCTGCCAAACTTTGGCCCTTAACTCCTCTAAAACAGTAGTGTAAACCCAGCCCCACACTTGTTGAGATATTCTTTTTGCAGCTGGGCGCGGTGGCTCATGCTTGTAATCCTAGCACTCTGGGAGGCCGAGGCGGACAGATTGCTCAAGGTCAGGAGTTCAAAACTAGCCTGAGCAAGAGCGAGACCCTGTCTCTACCATAAAAATAGAAAGAAATTAATTGGCCAACTAATATATATATATAAAGTTAGCCGGGCATGGTGGCGCATGCCTGTAGTCCCAGCTACTCGGGAGGCTGAGGCAGTAGGATCGCTTGAGCCCAGGAGATTGAGGTTGCTGTGAGCTAGGCTGAGGGCACGGCACTCACTCTAGCCTGGGCAACAAAGTGAGACTCTGTCTCAAAAAAATAAAATAAAATAAAATAAAATAAAACAAAGAGCAAGATGTAAGCTTGGAGGTACAGACCCCTGCAAGTGTACAGTGGGGGGCTGGGGCCCAGAGAAGTGGGGGCTCAGAGAAAAGAGGCTGAAACAGGGCTCAAAGGACCTTGAAGGCAAGGCCTGTCAGGGCCCATCACCTCCTCAGGCTGGAGAGGTCAGTGCAAGCCACAGCGATGGGGTCCTGAGACCTCAGCACCCCTGCCCAACCTCTCCCAGCACCCCCAGGATCATTCGGGGAAGCCTGTTTCCAGACGTCCGTGATTTATTTCCAAAGGAGAGCTGCAGCACATAGGAAAATACACATGGCTTTTCAGTCTACATTTTTACAGAGAAAATAGATTCCATCGTTGGCTTTTTCAGCGCCATCATCCTGTTCTGTGAGGCTCCAGGATGGATGGCCTGTCTCCAAGATCCCGCTTTCAAAGCAGCAGCTTGGCCAAGGCCTCTGGGGTGGGAGTGAGCCCGTGGGGGCAGGGGGAGCACATGAGCAGCACTCACTGCAAAGCTAAGGCAAGAACAGAGCTGGTGGGAGACGCCTCCCTCACCCCAAGGACATGGCTTGCTCAGGCCCAGGACACAAACCAGGTGGGGTGGGGATGGGGACTGCGGCCCAGCCTGGAGCAGCAGCAGCAGTACTCCAAGTGTGCACGTGGGTGTGGGGGAAGGGGGCATGCTGAAGAGGCAGCCTATATGGGGATAGAGGGGCTTCATCTTGCATATCCCCCTGCCCCAGGACAGCTCCCAGACTGTGGTCCCCAATCCTACACTTGGCCCCTTACCTAAGGTCTACTTCAGGTGGGGGGCCCTGCTCAGGTCCCTTCTTCCACCTTACCCCCTCACTGTCAGTGCAAAACGTTCTTAGGGCCAAGCCCCAAGTCCCCTGCACCCTGACTGGGGCTGCAGGGAAGGGAGGAAAGGAAAGTGCTAGCTGGGGGCCTCCCCTAGCACAGGGAATTCCTTGCACATCTCTCGAACAATCATGCGGTCCATCTGGCACTGGGGCGAAGCCTCCTCCTCAGCCAGGATGCGTCGCAGTGTGGCCTGCAGGTCGGGCAGCCGGTGGCGGTGCTGTAGGTAGGGCGTGGAGCGGACCACGGCATGCATCAGGGAGAGGTATTCCATGCGCAGCTGTGGGAAGAGCAGGCTAGCTCAGGGACCCCAGGGAGGTACTGCAACTGCCACCAGACAGGGACAGGCCACTACTGCCCATGGACCCCAGGGCTGTGGATCAGCTCATGCCGCTTAGACATCAGAGCTGCAACCTCAGCACCCGGAATGTACCTGGCACAGAACTAGTCTTCAATAGTTGGTGAATAAACCAGTGCATGAATGGATTATCCCAGCCACAGACAGTCCCCAGATGTGGCCTGCCCAGGGCAGGCCTGTCCATCTGTCCGTCAGAGGCCCTCTGCTTCTCACCCTCTCCTCTCTCAACCTGAAAGATCCTGTTCATACCCACAGCTTCAAATAGTGACCCACGCTCCCTCTGGCTAGGCCTCTCCTGTGAGCTCCAAGGGAGACTGTCCAACTGCCTGTCATTGCCTGCATGTCTCAAACCTGCATATCTGCACTGTCACACGCACGTGTACCACCCTCCTGAAGCTGAAGGCTCTCGCTTTTTTTTTTTTTTTTTTTGAGACAGAGTCTCGCTTTGTTGCCCAGGCTAGAGTGAGTGCCGTGGCATCAGCCTAGCTCACAGCAACCCCAAACTCCTGGGCTCAAGCAATCCTCCTGCCTCAGCCTCCCGAGTAGCTGGGACTACAGGCATGCGCCACCATGCCCGGCTAATTTTTTTCTATATATATTAGTTGGCCAATTAATTTCTTTATAGTAGAGACGGGGTCTCGCTCTTGCTCAGGCTTGTTTCAAACTCCTGACCTCGAGCAATCCACCCTCCTCGGCCTCCCAGAGTGCTAGGATTACAGGCGTGAGCCACTGCACCCGGCCTCTCTCGCTCTTTATCTCTGTGAAGAACGCCACTGTCAATCCAAAAGCACAGGCCTGAAGCGCGTGTGTCCTCTGATTCCTCTCTCCCTCACACTTCACATCCAAGTCATCCCCAACACCTGGCCGTGTCACCTTCCACGTGTCCTGAATTCACTCCCAACACCCCTCCCCCAACCCTTACTTTCAGCACCTCTGGCTGAAGCTGTCCCAACAGCCCCTGTGACTAAACAGCCGACCTCTTCCTCATCCTCACTGAGGCCCGCGACCCACTGACCTGATCCCAGCACTTTTTGTCTCTCATTTCTCTCTTTACCTGTAACTAGAGGAATCAATACCCAAACCACCTTTAGGCAGCATCACCCTGCTAAGTCCCAGCCCTGGCCATCACAGGCCAGTGTCTAGGCAGCAGACAAGCATGGAGCCGCCTACAGGTCTGAACTTCCCTCAGATGGACCCGCAGCAGGGACTCCCATGGCTGCTCTCTGCTGCGTCCGCTCTCCCTTACAGCGCCATTGCCCACCTCCTCTCTGCCAAGGCTAAGCTGCCTGGTCAGCTTGGCTGGTGCTTCATGGGGAAAACAGAAGCAATCTTTCAGAAACCTGTCTGCCCTGCTCAGTACCCACATCCCACCTCTTCCCACCTGAATGAACTGCCCACTCCCGTCCATGTGGCCTGGACCCTCCACTGTGGCCTCTCGTACTAGACTCCTGCAGTGGCTGCTGTCCCTAACACTCCATCCACTTCTCTGTGCTTCCTAGACCATTCCCGCTGGCTCAGCACGAGCACCAGCATCTCCCGCCTTTAAAACACTCTCCCTGACCCATCGTCCTGCTCCAGCAACCCCCCATTTTTCTGCTCCTGTTCCTGGAAAATTCATGAGCATTGTCTCCATTTACTGCTTCCAACTCCTCCCTCATTTCCACTCTCCAGGAATTTCAAATTTTCGCACCATTCAGACTCTCTTCCCTCCACCCCACAGATAACCACCTGTCAATCACCACTGATCTCCATGTGGCAAATCCAGCGGCCAGTTCTCAGCCCTTGTCTTATGCTGGCTCCTAACAGTGTGGGGACGGCTCATCTCCTTCCTCCTCCACGTACGCAGCTCTGGGGCATCTCTAGTGCCCACTCGCCCCCACTGCCTCCCTGCTGCGCCCGGTACCTGACTAGCAGGTATCGCCTCAACCTCGACACATTCAAAACACATCTCTATCTTTCCCTCAAGAAGTTCTTCTGGCTGTCAATGATCAGGACTTCATCCACCTTGTTGCTCAAGATAAATCCAGCAGCAAGCCCTGCCAGACCCACTTCCAGCACACTCCAAGAATGGCCTCTTTTCACCCATGCCGCCTGGCCCTCTGAGCTTGCTTCCTTGCTGGCCAGCTCCCACTCTGCTTCCAGTCTCAGTTCCACCTGGGACGCTCATCACAGCACTGTCCCTCCTCTAAGGGATCGCAACCTCCTGCTGCAGCCTCCAAGGCTTCCTACGAACTCCACCCCCTCTCCTCATCTTGCACACTTCCTCTGCTCCAGCTTTCTCCAACACCCGCCTCCGCATCACCTCACGGCCGCTCCTTCGGCTCCTGGCACACCTGCCATGGTTTCTGAATGGCCTTTGACACTACTGGCTCCAGCAGTGGCCCTGTCCCCTCATCTCCACTCATTATCATGTCAACCTGATTTTGTTTCAGCTTCCACATAGCGACCAGCCCTGCTGCAGCCACCTCCAGGCACCTTGTCTCCAGGGGACAGGTCTGCGATGTGCCGCACAGTGATGTCAATGAGCGCCATCATGTCTGTGTGGTAGAAGATGGCAGCTGTGGTGGCGCTGCCGAACACGTCCTGCAGGAACTTGAGGACAGAGTGTGGCGGCTGTGGCTCATGTTTGAAGATGCGCACAGGGTCATCTAGGAGGCAGGGGTCACGGGTCAGGGGGGTCTTTGCAGGGGTCCCAGAGTCACCCAGGAGGCTGCAGGAGCCACTGCAGGGGGTCATGGGGTCACAGGGCATCGCAGTGGTACCCGCGCAGATTCCTGTGCCCTTACCCCCTCTGTTCAGGAGCAACAGCAGCTTCTCAGAGAAGATCTTGACATTGGTATGTTTGCTCAGGGCGGCCATAATGACATTCTGATCAGGGGCTGAGGAAGGACATGGGTGTAGACAAGGTGCTGAGCCTGGACAGCCCCCCTCCCGTTTGGTCAGCCACCTCCCAGCCGGGCCCCACCCCACCTGGCAGGTGCAGGTTGAGAGCCAGAAGCAGGTTCACGCAGAGGTCTGGCAGCTGCTCCGTGGTGTCCAAGGGCAGCCCATCCTCAACGACGCTCAGCAAGAACTGGGCGAAGGGTGTGCCCAGGTGTTCTGGGAGAGGGGCACACAGAAGTGTGTAGCCTTGTCCCCTCCCCCCAACATCACTGGCCTTCTCGGCTTTCTGTGAGCCTTGCGGACACCCTATCCCTGCCAGGCTGTGTAGTCAGCAGGTCCCCAGGCCACAGGCCCTGGCTCCAGGACCTGTGGTCTGCTGGGCCATGATATGCATTCTTACCGTAGTGTGCATACGGCACTGCCTCCCCCATGGAGAAGACCATGGCCAGGACAAGGGCAGAGTAACAGAGTTTCTGGTGGTCTGGGGGGACAAGGCAGGCAGTCAAAGTCCCTGAAGATGGCAGGAAACCCCAGCAGATGGCAGGAACCCCCTCCAGATGGCAGGAATCTCCACCACCCGGCTCCCCCCGGCCTCACCCTGTGTGTCCGTCTGCATGTCCCGTGCCAGCTCTACTGGCAGCACAGATGACACGAGTGTGGAGATGATGGCTGCATCCAGGCTGCACATGGCACCAAAGCACTTGAGGAGCAGCAGCCGCAGTGATGCTCGGTGCTCCTGGCAGGGTACCCTGGGTGCTCAGTGCCTGGAATCCCCACCCCTACCCCGTCCCTCTGTGCCCCCTCCCCTCTGTCTTGCACACACCATTTGGTAATAGGCCACCAAGGCCAGGACAGACTCGAACTCATTTCTCTTGCACATTTTCTTGCAAACTTCAGGGTCTGCATCAGTCTGTGGGAGGAAGAAGTGTGAGAGTCACCCATGTGAGCCGAGCTCTGCGGCCGCACGGGAGAGCCGAGTGCACGTGCGCAGAGGAGACTCCTAAGCATCGAGGGGGGAAGGCGTAGGGTGAGGGTCGCTGTTGCACACATTGGGGGATGCATATGGGCCCCCACCCCGCACCAGAATATGCAGCAGCTCCTCCAGGTAGCAGCGGATGACGCCCTCGTCCTCATATAGGGCCCAGCTGCGCTGCTGGGCGTCATCCTTGTGCCGAGCCAGGTCTGCGAAGATCACCTCCAGCCTCTGCTGGTCATGGCAGACCTGCCCTGAGGGCAGGGCTGTGCTCAGGTCCTAGGGGGAGAGGCGAGGCATGGTTCAGCACACTCCCTCCCCTCAACATCTCCAGGAAGTCCCCAAGCCTGGAGGGAGAGTCCCACTCAAGCCCTATGTGGTCCACACTGGGCAGGGGGCTCAACCCCAGTCTTAACAACCTCCTGGGCCAAGATTCTGCATGCCACACGTCTGTGGGGGCTTTTCTAACAACTTTCTTATCATCTTAGATCTGCATAAACTGTCCCATGAAGAGGGCCATGAACTCTGTCACTACCTGAATGTGATTCTGAGACCTTACCCTCCCATTCCACACAAAGTGGCAGCAGGCCTGTAATCTACCCACCTCCCACATTTTCTTCAAACCCTGCTGACCAGGCACTGGCTTCCATGCCCAGCACAGACAAGCCCATTAACCCACTGTCATCCTCTACAGCCAACCAGAATTATAAGAAGGACCATGGAGCCCCAGGGAGGGACCTTTGGCCAATCTGGCCCCCATCACGTACACAGGCTCGCTGCCACCCAATCCTCCTCCTGACCAGCACTGCCCCAACCTCGGCAAAGGACCCCACCCATCCCATAATGCCTACACACCTCACTCCCTTCTGTCCAGGTCAGCCTTTAGGCCTCCATCATAGCTCTCCACGCACCCATGCTTCTCCAGTGCCAAGGCCAGCAGGGTACTGCCCTCACCCATGCTGTGTGTCTGCTCCTCCTCTGCAGCCAGGCGGAACTCTTGGCCACCCACATGTGGTCTCATCCATTACTTGCCGCAGGTCCCACCTCCTCCCACAGCACCTGCCCTCACTCCCTGTGTTCCAGCCATGCTGGCCTTGCTCTGCTTCACCCCAGGAGCGAAGCTCAGCCCTGCTTCACTGTCCTTGTCCAGGCTGCACCTCTGCCTGGAACGCTATTCCTCCCTTCCTCCTGCAGGGATCAGCTCAAATGTCCCCAACACCCAGCACAATGAAAGCTCAGGGATTGACAAATACCTATCATGTACAAACTGGACAAATGTGTGAGGGGTGGGAACAGGGTGGGGTTAGCAGGATGGCCTGAAGGTAGGGAGGCTCCTGGCTGTGCTGCCCACCTCACCTTGCCCTCCACCAGCGAGAGGAGGACCTGCTCCATGATAGGTGCGGTGGCTGGCACGGAGGCCTGGATGTGACCCACCACGACACCAATGGCCACACGGCATAATTCATGGCTCAGGCCGGTGTTTCGCCGCACAAGCTCCATCAGCTCTGCCCCAATGGTCCTTGGCACAGCTGTCTCAGCCACTGCCTTTTCCTCTGTGGTCCCCAGGCTCAGTGCATCCAGGGCCTCTAAATCATCAGAGGCTGAGGTTGTGCCAACTGCCACTTCTTCTGCAGGGGGTTCAGGGTCTGGTTCCTTGGAAGGAGGGGGCTGGGCTTGGGACACAGTGGTGTGGGTGCTCCGGCGGGGCACAGGAGGGGGTGTGGGTGAGCAGCTGGAGCCCAGCTCAGACGGGCTGGAGTGGGTATAGAGCGTGTCCAGGGAGGTGCTGCTGACTGAGGAGCCGCTGGACACGGAGCTCCCCCTGGAAGGCATGCTGTTGTGGCCGCCTGTGAGAAAGAGTGCATGCTGTGCTGGGGCAGCCCCTACCCCTCCCAGCCCAGGGCCCCTGTCCCCCAGTACAGGGGCCAGTTCCTCTGCTACACTCTGTCTCCTCTCTATGCCCAGAGCACCCCCACAATTGCCCCAACATGGGGGCCCTGTCTTCTCCCCAAGCCTAGAGCCCCCATTCCCCTGATATGGGCAGGGTAACCATTCCAATCACAGGGCACCCCTACCTCAATTCCCTCAACCCTGCCTTCTTACCACTCCCCGAGGCCACCAGGGCCTCTCGGTCTCTGCGTTTCACAGGCGGGGGAGGTGTGGCAGGCGCTGCCCGGCGAGGCTGTGGTGGGATCTGGAAAGACAGAAGTAGGATCTGGGGATCTGGGAGGATAGGCTGCGACCCCATATGGACTCCTTGAACCTCTGGATGAAGCTTTTTTTTTTGAGACAGGGTCTCGCTCTGTCGCCTAGGCTAGAGTGCAGTAAAGACATCATAGTCACTGCAACCTCAGACTCCTGGGCTCAAGTGATCTTGCCTCAGCCTCCCAAGTAGCTGGGAATACAATTGTGCACCAACACACCCAGCTAATTTTTCTATTTTTTTGTAGAGACAGGGTCTCGGCTATGTTGTTCAGAATGGTCTCAAACTCCTGGGCTCACGGAATCCTCTTGCCTCAGTTTCCCAAAGTGCTAGGACTATAGGTGTGAGTCCCCATGCCTGGCCTGGATGAAGCCTTTAAGCCCTACCCATCTCCTTTCTCCAGGATGCCCCACCACGTACCTGGTAGAAGCCTCCATCTGCACCAAGATGCTCAGAGCTGGGCAAGCTGTGCTGCCGCTCGAACCCAGCTCGACACACTCCATTGGGCTGCCTGGCGGCAGCAGCATCCAAATGGTGGTCACTGGTGGATGGGGTCATTGCTGCAGCACTGGAAGCTGAGGGGCCTCTGCGAGACAGGGTCTCTTTCCGCTGGTGGATCAACTTCCTGATGGACAGGGAACTACTGGGGGGTGCACTTCACAGCTCCCAAAGTCCTCACATGCTCCTTATGGGATGCTGGGACCCCACAGCTCAGACCCCTCAGCTCCCCATCTCGCCCATGCCCTCCCCACATCTCTAGCACTCACTGAAGGACCCACTCCACCATGCTCACTGGGAGGTGCCACTCCACCTCCCACCACACTCACTGGAGAACTCCGCGCTGTTCTAGGCTGTATTTGCCACCATCCTGCATAGCTGTGTTGTGCACAGCCTCGATGGCCCGGTCAATGGCCTGCAGGACATCCTGCTCCAGGCCCTGGAGAGGGGGACAGGGCAGAGTTAGACCGGGGGCTAAGTGGAGGTGCTCAGCCCAGATCTAGCCCACCCCAAATGGAACCCAGAGCGCAGGACCACTACAGCTGAAGACTGGAATGCTAGACACGAGCACAGAAAGTGGAACTAGAATACGGAATGGAGTTCTCAAGCTGTGGCACTCAGGGAGCTAAGGCACAGGGTGGCCCCCATGCTGCCACATTACACATTGAGACCCCACTTGGGATTTTGCCCCACAGAGAGGCTCTTGGCTAAGATGTTTCTGAAAGCCAGGGAATAAAAACAAAGCCCAGGGACCCCCGGCTTGTGGCCAGAAGCACGCACCTAGTCTATCCCTAGTCTTGGCTCAAAGCCCAGGTTGACATGCCAAGCAGGATGCCTCCAGTGTCTGGAATCCTTAATAAATCACTCTGGATCTTGCTGATCCTTCACAAAACCAAGGTCATACTCCAGAACAGCCCTGTCCTCTGCAGACCCTGGGAGCCAAAAACGGGCCAAAGGGACCTCTCCTCCCCATCCCTGCTGGCAGCCCGCATGTCCTCAAGGTATCCCAGTAAGCTCCCAGACCTGCCCTGGGAAGCAGTTCTGTGTTTTATGAGTAGACATGAGAGAGGGGCCTGGCCCCTGCTCCAGGCTCTGGTGCCATGCCCAGCAACCCAGGGTCCAGTCTACCTGCCTGTCTGGCATGGGGTGGGGGTGTGGGGTAGCAGCTGTGGGACCAGCCACCCCCACCTCCCCTGGCACACATGGTCCATCAGGTGACACAGGAGCCTCGGAGCTGAGGTGAACTCACTCCAGAGTGAGTTTGAGACGGACAGAGAGGTGGGCGCAGAGGTCAACAAACTCCTCCGAGTGGTATGGGGTATGCCAGAGTGCAGGGAGACAGAAACAGAGAGGAAGACAGACAGAGAACCATACACAGACACACAGACACACACACACACACAGAGTAAAAAAGACATGGAGAGAGGAGCTCAGAGAAGAATGGGGAGGCAGGCAGAGGAAGACAACGTAGAAAGAAACTGAAAGCTAGAGACAGAGAGTGGGAGAGAGTTGGAAGAAGAAAGAAAACACACACAGGTGGAGAGTCAGAATGACACAGACAGAGATACGCAGTCAGGGAAACCAAGAGAGGTACGCAGAATGAAACTGAGAGACAGTGACACAGAAGATGCAGCGTCTCTGGCCTCCCCAAACACCCTGCCCTACTGGTCCTGGCTGGGGCAGGGGACTCAGGCCTGTGACCTATGCTTAGCAAGGGAAGAGACGGGATTTCCCCCAGGCCTTCAATGAGACCCCATTCCCAAAGAGGCTGGGTCTGACACGTCACTCCAGGCCCAGCAGCCCTGGTGTCCAGGACCCCCCACTCTTACCCCGGGCACTCCTACAAATGACCAGACTGACAGTCTATGTGGAAGCCCCTAGGGCTAGGGCCCATTCCCTTTGCTAAGACCAGATGACATGTCCAAATTTATCCTGTTATTTCTGTCCTGAACCGGGCTGGAACAGGATGTTTCTAAAAGCTGGGGACTAGGATGGGGTGGGGGTGTCATGCACAGGCCAGGCGGCTCTGGGCCCTCCTTCCTGCAGTGGTCAGAATAAACCAGCTGGAAACACAGCGACCCAGCCCCTGTGGCAGGGCTCCTCTCAAGGAAACAGGAACTGGGACTAGAGCCGCCTCTAGAAGGAAATGGGGCCATGGTCAGACCAGGGGAAGCCATGAGAAAGACTCATTCCTCACAATGGAAGCAGCCCCCACTACAGGCTCAGGACAAGGAGGGATGTAGCTCCTCCACTTTCAAAGGAAGTAAGAGGAAGTAAATCTGAGAAGTCAGGACCTGAGGCCTGGGAAGTAGAGGGAGCAGTGCCAGGGAGTGTCAGCAGGGGCTGGGGTCCTTGGTTCATATAGGGTTGGGGGAGTCTTGGGAAGAGCTTAGAGGGTGGATGAGTACAGGACAATGAATGACACTAAGGTCCCAGGGCTTGGGTGTCACATAGGGGATGGGGATATCACCTAGGGGATGCAGGGTCCAAGTGGGGGGTTGAGGACCCGGAGGATGTTTGGGGAAACAGGTGGTGTCCAAGGTGGCCCGGGTCTCAGTGGTAGAGGTGGTGGCTCCAACTGGGGGCCTGAGGGAGAGGCAAGAATGTGGAATACTAGGAATCTAGGGAAGGCATGTTAAGGGGTCTCAAGGATTTGGGTGACTGGCCAGAATTTGGTGCTGGAGCCTCAGGGTGCTCTTAATTCTATTCAGATGGAGGTTTTAATACTGAACGGTCTGGTGTCCAAGGAGTCCTAGTTCCAGAGTTAGTGTTTTGGTAGATCTGGGTAGGCTGTCAAGGGCATAGTCTTTCGTGCGGGATGCTGGCTCTTGCAGTCTCAGTTCCCATGGGCCTAGGGTTTCACGGTGAGGTTCTCAAACTCCCTGTCTGCTAGAGGTCCCGGCCTCCGGGCCAGGGAGTCTGGGGTCCTCAGGCTGGTTCTGCCAGTCCAGCTTCAGGGCCGCGGAGGCCGGGCCGAGAGGGACACACTCACCTGCAGGCGGCGCAGGTAGGCGGGCGGCACGTAGCCGGTCTCACCACTGCGCGCCCGCGCCGCCAGCCACCAATGCGCGCTGCTGCGCTCCAGCACCAGGAAGGTCTCGCCCGCGGCGAACGCCAGCGCGTTGGGCTCCGCCGAGCGGAACGCGTACAGCGCGCGGTACATGGGGCCGGGCCGGGCCGGTGCAGGGTAGGCGGCAGGGGGCTGCGGAGCCAGAACGCCAGGCCGGGAACTCCGCGCAGCGCTCGCCCCGCCCAGTGACACACCACGCGTGCGCGCGCACGCCCGCCGAAGCCCCGCCCCGGAGTGTGTCGGCCCGGGCTTTGGCGCCGCGCACCCCTGCGGCCCCGACAGACACGGCGGGGCGGGCTGCAGAGCCAGCCGGTCCCTCTGGCCCTGAGCTCTGCGACTCTGGGCTCCTTACCCCAGCCTCGGCTTTCCCCGCTCAAGTTTGAGAGCTGTGGCCTGTCCTACCTCCCGGGGAGGGCGCGCCGCGGTCGTAGCCGGTGCGCCCCCGCCGCCCCCGGGAATGGGTCCCGGCCTACTAACAATAAGGACAGCGACCCGGGAGGCCGGTCTCATTGTTGGATCCCGCTTACCCAACAGTTGGCAGCTTCAGCAGAGGCCAGGTCTCCTTGGCGTGTCTAGGCTTCATGACACCTCTTCATTAAGTCCCTGCCCCGTACTGTGCCAGTGTGGAGCAAATGTGTGTGTGATGGGGCAGGGTCGGGGGAGGAGGATGGTGCAGTAAGAACGAAACCAGTAGGCCAGGCGCGGTGGCTCAGCTTGTAATCCTAGCACTCTGGGAGGCCGAGGCGGGTGGATTGCTCGAGGTCAGGAGCTCGAAACCAACCTGAGCAAGAGCGAGACCCCCGTCTCTACTATAAATAGAAAGAAATTAATTGGCCAACTAATATATAGAGGAAAAAAAATTAGCCGGGCATGGTGGCACATGCCTGTAGTCCCAGCTACTTGGGAGCCTGAGGCAGGAAGATTGCTTGAATCCAGGAGTTTGAGGTTGCTGTGAGCTAGGCTGATGCCATGGCACTCACTCTAGCCTGGACAACAAAGTGAGACTCTGTCTCAAAAAAAAAAAAAAAGAAGGAAACCATTAAACCAGGCCGGGCTATTCCTTGTCTAGAGTCCTCCCATATTTGCTCCCCACCCTCCACCCCCACCACTTCTCCCTTTAGCCTTGGCTTTTCTGTTTTCCTCTGGGTCTTTGCATATTCTGTTCCCTTTATCTGGGACAGTTTTCCCCTAGCTCTCTCACAACATAAGGTTGTAAACTCCCACCCCTATCAGTCGCTATCATCTTGCTCTGCTTTATTGTCTTTATAGGACTTTAAACTCTAGATTATTTTTGATGTCCCCTTCTGAGAGCCTACAGGAGGGCTGGCAGAGGGTAGGGAGTAAGTTACCAAGTGGCATTAAGTGCATGTTTGACTCACCCAACTTTCCAGTCAGCCCAGACCTCCAGGTTTTGAAATCCTTGTAGTATGAGTGCCTGTGGAACCCAGTGAAGAGGCTCTTGGGGAGAGGATGGCCCTGGGGCTGGTCCAGCCACACATTCTCCTCAGGAAGCCTGAGCCCAGGAAGCACGGTTATGGGCACAACTAGACCAGTGTATGTAGTTGACCTATGTTTTTAGGCAGAGTACATAGACCATAGTGGGCCTTGGGGAGGAGGTAGGTACTAGGATGTTCAGATGAGGGGTAAAGCTGCTACAATCTGACATCCAGACCCTGCCTTCTCTGCACCAGGTCTGGCTCTGCAGTTCAAGACCTCTCTTAGATCCTCTTCCTTCCAGAAAGACCTCCTGGCACACAGCAGGAGTAGCTCTCGGGATGTACCGACTGGGACTCCGTGAAGGATAACTATAATTGTGAGGCCCAGGGCCAGGCAGGAGTGGTGACAGGTGGTGTTTTGAGGTGTCTAAGAGGACTACCCTACCAGAACACTCCTCATTCAGCCCTCTACCACCTGGGCCCCTTTACCACAGAGCCCAGGGCTGCCAATGAACCTGAGCCTAGCAGCTACCTGAGACCCTAGTACTAGCTCCAGGATATCTGACATCACGATGTCCAGTGAACTAGCTGCTGCTAGGGGCACAAGAGGGATCAAAAGCTGGACCCAAAATTTGGAGCACCCACTGCCCGACTTTGGATTAAGCTGCACAGGGCCATAGAAAGACCTTGGCCAGTATAGACCCCAGAAGGACTGGGTTAAGGTATATGTGTGTGTTGGGGGGGTCCTTTTTGGGTAATCTCAGGGTACTAGGTTGGGGGACTGAGGACCAAGCTAAGAGGCTATGGTGATTTTAGGATTGATCCATGGGGTGGGAGCAGTGGCCAGAATATTGCTGGGCCAGGGAGGAGGTCACAGCATGTGGTGAGGCTTCTGTAGGTTGGGAAGGGGGCTGTCTGCCCCTGGAAAGAATGACATCAGCACTGTGTACAATAAACAAAAAGATTTGTATTAGAACATATACACTCAGGGAAGAAAGAGGTATTTGCATCATCAAACATGGAATGTTGAAGAAATAGTTAAAATAAATAAAGACTCCAAGCACAGCTGGGGCTGGCTCAGGCTGGAGCTCACACAGGCCACTACACATCAGCTCCAGGCTGCAGGGGCCACCACCTGGCCATACTGGCCTCCTTCCCGACGCAGCACAGCTGTGCCTGGGACACAGAGAGTCTCTCAGATACTGGAGCAGCCAATAAGCTCATTCCCCACTCTCCTCGCTTATCTCTGTGACAATGTCTATCAGACTCTGAAGCCCAAAGATATAGCCAGCATCCTGGCCCTCATGCACCACGGTGTCCTCGCCATACAGCCTGCAGGTGGTGTGTGCAAAGTCGATCATGCGCACATCTACTGAGCTGGCGCCAACTGGCTTGTAGGCGTAGGCACCAGCAGACTCATCTGCTGACTCCTCTGACAGGTCCTCCAAGTCCTCAGCATCTGAGTCCAGGGCCACTTCGGGCCGCTCCTTGCCATCATAGATGACCAGCAGGGAGCTTGAGTAGAAGCGGTAGGACTCCTGTCGCTCTAACACCGCCTTCAGCTCAGCCAGCTTCTTGAGCACAGGGCTCAGGAGTTCACGGCGCAGGTACCGTCCATTGTGGAAAAACTGGAAAAGTGCTTCTTTGAAGCCCTGCACTGACAGCTTCCGCCCATGGTACTTGTTCATGAACATTAGCTGTCCACTGCCTGCCTGGTAAACCTGTGGGAGAGAGACAAGCAGGTCAGGAGCTAAGGGCCATCTCAAAGCCTGGACCACAGGGGAAGGTACAATGAAACAGCCCAGATCAGATCCTTTAACTTGTCAAGTACACCAGTTATAAATGAGCCGCTGTCCTCTGTGTTCAGTCTCTACCTGGGATGCAGCCATCTAACCTGGGTTTGGTAATTGGGCCCCAGCCCCCTGCTCATCATCTGGGTCAGTGGAGAGGACCTAACCCTCTTGCCTTCCTCCCCACTCCTATCCACAGTCTCTGAACTCAGCCACCCCGGCCAACCTCAGAGGGGATCACCTAGGCATGCATGCCATCTTTGTAACCAGAAAGCAACAGACTCATGTAGGGTCAAACTTGGAATCTTTTGAGCAAATAAAACTGTCCAGGCAGGAAAGTGGCAGACAATGGGTGCCCTAGTCAGCCCTTGGTAAGTACTAGCACACTCCTCACCTGCATACCACACACACGCACGCCAATGACTGCAGATGTGCTCTGCTGACATTTTCGGATCTGGTTGGCTGCCTTCTCCTCTGAAGCATCGTCACCATGTTGACGTGTGCCCATCTTGAGGTCAAGGACACAAGGCACCTCATAGCGGGAAGTCAGGTTCTCCAATAAGATAAATTCTGAGTGGTTAAGGACAATACTCCTAAAGAAGAAGTGCTATTGCATGGGGCTTTGGCACTCCCAGGGCACAGTGCCTGGATATAGTGACCCAGAGAAGCCCAAATCCACAGCAGACTCCATTAGTCCTGCCCATCTCCCCCACAGGGAGCCCAGGGCTGACTAGAGAGCTAAATGGCACCTTACTTCTTGTCAGGGAACTGACATGACAGCAGCCTACATTTGGATTCAACATAGGCTCAGGCTCTCCCTGTGCAGCAGACACACATACCATTTCCTGAATTCAGCTAGGTGTAGGACCAGTGTCCAACAACAGAAAGTCTTCAATTACAAATTGAACATCAAGTAAGTTCAGTAAATCCTACAGCCTTAAATGTGAATTGGAAATATCAGTATAACTCATGAAAATACTTTTTTCTTTAAAAATAAATGTCTATTGGACAGGTGCAGTGGCTCATGCCTATAATTCCAACACTTTGGGAGGCTGAGGCAGGAGGACTGCCTGAGGCTAGGAGTTCAAGAACAGCCTGGGCAATATATAAAGACCCGGTCTCTACAAAAAATTTTAAAATTAGCCAGGTGAGGTAGTGCACACCTGTAGTGTCAACTATTCAGGAGGCTGAGGCGGGAGGATCATTTAAGCCCAGGCATTGAAGGTTGCAATGAGCTTTGATCACGCCACTGCATTCCAGCCCAGATGACAGAGTGAGACTCATTCTCAAAAATAAATAAATGTCTGTTTCCTAGCAGTGTGCACTGAAAAGGTCTAGAAACAATGACCAGAAGTAATGAGAGTCCCTAACGCGCAGATTGTTCGGTTGTCTCATCATTTCCCATTAAAAGGAACCAGTGCTTCCCCTGAGCAGGAATTGCTAAACTGGCCAGCAGCTCACTGTTGTACAGCCTGTAAGCTAAGAATCATTTTTACATTTTTAAGCAATAAAAAAAATAGGCCGGGCGCAGTGGCTCACGCCTATAATCCTAGCATTCTCGGAGGCCGAGGCGGGTGGATTGCTCAAGGTTAGGAGTTCGAGACCTGCCTGAGCAAGAGTGAGACCCCGTCTCTACTAAAAATAGAAAGAAATTAATTGGACAACTAAAAATATATATATAAAAAATTAGCCAGGCATGGTGGGTGTAAGCCTGTAGTCCCAGCTACTCGAGGGGCTGAGGCAGGATGATCACTTGAGCCCAGGAGTTTAAGGTTGCTGTGAGCTAGGCTGACGCCACAGCACTCACTCTAGCCTGGGCAACAAAGTGAGACTGTGTCTCAAAAAAAACAACAACAACAAAAAAAACTTTTTGGTAAAGGGCCAAATAGTAAATATTTTAGGTTTTGTGGGCCAGAGTCTCTCTCTGCCATTACAGCATAAAAACAGCCATAGATAATACTGTACATGAATATATGTGGCTGTGTTTAAAAACTTTTTATTTACACTCATTGAAATTGAATTTCAGTTAATCTTCATGCATTATAAAATATATATATATTTATCTCCTTTTTTTTTGAGATATATATATATATATATATTTTTTTTTTTTTATCTCTCTCTTTTTTTTGAGACAGAGTCTCACTCTGTTGCCCAGGCTAGAGTACTGTGGCTGTCAACCTAGCTCACAGCAACCTCAAACTCCTGGGCTCAAGTGATCCTCCTGCCTCAGCCCCTTGAGTAGCTGGGACTACAGGCGTACACAGTTAATCTTCATGCATCATAATATATATATATATATACTATATTTATCCTTTTTTTTTTGAGACAGAGTCTCACTCTGTTGCCAGGCTAGAGTACCGTGCTGTCAACCTAGCTACAGCAACCTCAAACTCCTGGGCTCAAGGATCCTCCTGCCTCAGCCCTTGAGTAGCTGGGACTACAGCGTACACAGTTAATCTTCATGCATCATAATATATATAAATATATTTATCTCTTTTTTTTTTTTTTTGAGAGCAGGTTTTTTTTTGAGAGCAGAGTCTCACTCTGTTTGCCGGCCAAGCTAGAGTGCCGTGGCTGTCAGCCTAGCTCACAGCAACCTCAAACTCCTGGGCTCAAGCGATCCTCCGCCTCAGCTCCAAGTAGCTGGGACTACAGGCATGCACCAACCCATGCCCGGCTAATTTTTTGTATATATATTTTTAGTTGGTCAATTAATTTCTTTCTATTTTTAGTAGAGACGAGGTCTCGCTCAGGGTGGTTTTGAACTCCTGACCTCGAGCAATCCGCCCACGTCGGCCTCCCAGAGTGCTAGGATACAGGCGTGAGCCATCACACCCGGCCACCAAAAAGTTTTTAAACACAACCACATTCACTCATGTACAGTATTGTCTATGGCAGTTTTTATGCTATAATGGCAGAAAAAGACTCTGGCCCACAAAACCTAAAATACTTACTATTTGGCCCTTTACCAAAAAGTTTTGCCTAATCACCTAATGAAAAAATGGACCAAAGACAATGACAACCCAAAAGAGAAGACAACCAAACACTGTGCTTCCCAATGGACATGTACTATATTATCTCTGAAGGATTCTTACTAAACCTGGGTGACAGGTACTTAGGGGTTCAATGTATTATTCTATTTTAACATGTTTTCCCTAATACAAATTAAAAATAAATAAAAGGACAGACCCCAGTGCTTTCCTTATGCACAGCTCACGTGCCAGTCTGGTGAGCCAGGGCTGAAAAGAAAGTCTCCTCACTTAGCCCCCAACTCCTCACAGCCCTTGGCAGATAAGCACCATTTGGCTTCTGAAGGTGTGTGAAAACAGGGACTAGCCCCTTGCCCTTTTCCTCTAGGTTACCCAGCCCACCTGATGCAAGTTGGCCCCTTCATGAGGCACCCCTCACCTCCAGAGACCAAATACCTCCCACTCCCCACAAGCACACTCCCAATCTAGTCCCTAGCCCTGAGGGAGGCGATATTTGCCCAGTTATCACACAGGGTGTCCTAGCACAACCTTAGTATAAAAACCAAAGCACTCTCTCCGAGCTCCAAGTGCCTTCCTCACTTCTCATCCCCTTTCCCCAAGGCAGAGAGACCCATGAACAAAGGATACTGTACTGGTTCCGATGCTTTGCATTCTCCTTCATTCTCTGCAACTGTTGCTGGTGACACTTCATGCTCCAAGGGTTATAGTGTTTAAGTTGGGAACTTATATTACCCTTTTTCTCTACACTGTAGTATAAGACTTCAGATTTCTTTAGCCACTCAAATTCTTCTTCTAACTTATGGCTATAAAGAGACAAGGACCCAATAAATCAATTATGTCTTATCAAAATTCAGGGCCAAAGAGGCAGGAAATAACTTTCTGGAGTAATGGAAAAGTCTGATATCTTGATGCAGTGGTGTTTCAGTGCACACATCTGCCAAAACTCACTGAAGACTTCATATGGGTGCATTTTATCCAAAGTATATTATACCTCAAGAAAGTTCATTTAAAAAAAGGAAATCTGAGACTGCAAACTAGTTCAACCTCTGTGGAAAGCAATATGGAGATACCTCAAAGCGATACAAGTAGATCTACCATTTGATCCAGCAATTCCACTACTGGGCATCTACCCAAAAGATCAAAAGTCACTTTATGAAAAAGACACCTGCACTCGAGCAGCATAATTCAGAATATATATTATAGCAGCATAATTCAGAATTGCAAAGCTGTGGAAACAACCCAAGTGCCCATCAATTCATGAGTGGATTAATAAAATGTATATGTATGCCATGGAGTACTACTCAGCTTTAAGAAACAACAGTGATATAGCACCTCTTGTATATTCCTGGATAGAGCTGGAACCCATTCTACTAAATGAAGTATCTCTAGAATGGAAAAACCAGCACCACATGTACTCACCAGCAAATTGGTATTAACGGATCAACACCTAAGTGGACATATAGGAGTAACATTTATGGGGTGTTGGGGGAGAGGGGATGGGGTATATACAAACATAATGAGTGGGAGGTGCGATGTTTGGGGGATGGACACACTTGAAGCTCTTACTCGAGGGGGGAGGGGGGCATGGGCAATATATATAACCTTAACACTTGTACCCCCATAATACACTAAAATTAAAAAAATAAAAATAAAAAAAGGAAATCAAGGGGCCAGCCCACCACTGTTTTCTACATCAAGGAGAACCTAAGATGCAAGATCCGTCTCTGCTCCCTGGCCCCTGCAGGTAAGCAGCCTTCACTGTCCTCCTCTAGTTAGTACCATTCTCCTGGTCTCTGATACATTCAGGTTCCCCTGACTTAAAATGCTGGAGACTGGGAAAATATGAACTGAAATTCTGAGGGAATAGGTCGACCTACTTACCTATGCTATCACATACTTTAATTTATATAACTTGTATTTTCATAAGCTCTGCCAAAGTGCAGGACTTGGAAGGCCCTGTGTAGATGGACCCTGGGGTTTTGGGGATGTCCAATATCAGTGATCACATTTTGTCCCCATTGGTGAGCAACCCACAGTGAAAGGGTAAGCTCCTGTCATGGTCACTGCTATATCCCCAGGACACACGATAGGGCCTGACACAGAGCAGTTATGGAAAGAATGAATCTTGTTTATAGCAGCCATTAAAACTATTTACCCAAAATGGCATAATCTAACCCAGAGTAAATTCAAAAGAAGTTGGGCATGTGGGGAACTGGCCACTGAATGACAAGGCACCTACTAAACCCATCATGAGTCCTTAGTTCCAGGGAACTGGGACGTAATCAAAACCCCCAACACCTCCCAGCAGTCTATACTCACTTCTTCAACTTCTCCTCTTTCCGGTGCTGACGCACCCAGTCCTTGGGAGTCTTTTCTGTTTCTAGGCCGTGATGTTTTTTGTTTGCCCACCTTAGGAGCTTACTTTTTGGCTCACAGTCTGAATTATCTACAATGTCCACAGTTCCATGGTCCCCTTTTAGTGGATATGCTATTAAACACAAGTTCCTGTCTTCATCTTCTTCAAAGCGTACAGATACTACACCTGGAAGAGGGGGGTGAGGAGCAGAAAGGATTTTTAATTCCACAGGAAGATGCGTTCCAAATAACATGATTATAACATTTGTTTTTTTCTTACCCTGTTCCTTAGTCTCTATGATGCCAGAGGCCCCACACTCATCTGCAAACTTAAATATCAAAACAGCTAGAAAAGATGACACCATACAAGACAAGCAATTAGGGAGCAAACACAGCCGAGAGTCTTCCTCTCTAATGCACTCAACAAGGCAAGAGCCAAAGAATTACAAGACACATTTTTCCATCATTGAAAGTGTTTATTAATTTTTGTGTTAACTCTTCTAATCCTAAGAGACTTAAAACATTGCTCTTTATTTCTTGTGGGAAGTTTTAATGCCCTAAACAGAAACTCTGACAGCCTCAAGGCTTGCTTTAAAGCAAAGCCTGAACACAGGGTTTGCCTGAGGGTAAAATGCATCCAAGGATATGGGAAGACTGGGTAAGCAGAACAAAATAAAGGGGCAAACAAAACAAACCACACAGCACAACAGACACCCAAGCAAAGGCTTTCCGTGACACCCCACACAGGTGGGCACCCCAAGTATTTTGTCCTTCTGAAATATTTTTATTTGTCTTTACAGTCTCATGTCACAAAATAACAAAATGAACACAAGGCAGATAGGGTTGGGCAGGGAGCACAGACACGTGGCAGCCTTGAAAGCAGCTCTCCCCCTCGAGTCTCTAGAACCTGCCATGTGTAATTAGACAGTCTTTGAGAAGGGGGCTGTCAGGTGGGAACGTTTCAGCAGGTGCCGACGAGCGCCTTACAAACGACTGGCTGAACACCTTTCCTCCCAGGCCTCTCTGCCCCAGGATCACTCAATCTGCTCAGTCCTTCTGCCTGCCCGCTCGCTTGCTGCAGGGGAATGCGTGCTCAGAGAGAGACGACACTTCTGAGATGGCCCCCAGCTCTGGATGGAAAGGAGCCAGGGTGGGGAATTCAGGGACCCCACTTCCCTGTGGCCCCGGGCTAAAGGACCAGGGGACAAAAGGGGGCAGGGGCAGCCAGCTAACAAGGGGCCTTTGGCTTTGTCCTGGAAAAAACAACAGAGAAGGACCAAGTGAGGGCCCCCAACTTCCCCACCCCCACCACATACATGCATATTCAGAGTACAGAGAGAGGCACCCAGTACATTCTATCTTTAAAAACAATGTTTCAGCAGTCCCACAAGAACCTAAATTGTCCTCCAGTCTTTTGTATAACCAGGCAATGCACATTTAAAATTAATTTCTTTAATGGGTTCTTCTTTGATTTACAAAAGATTCCTCCCTCCCCAGGAAAGACCACACCAAGCTGGTGGTTGCTGATGTCCCTCCAAAAAAATTATAAAAAGAGAGAAAAGTCACCATATGAGAATCAAAGGGTTGCCTTCACATAGCAATTTTGGGGACATTCCGTAATAGCAAAGGGCTTCAGCTAATCATAATCAGCACAGTCCTCCCACTCCTGCATTCCATCTGACTCAACCCTGCTCCCAGCCTACCTAATCACCAGGGCTTCTGGTTTCCTGGAGGACAAAAAGCAGGTGGCAAGTAGTCTGGGTAAAGTCTTCCCCCACAGTCCCCCCATGGGGGACTATGGGTTACTGTGATCAAGAGATACCTGAACATAAAATACAACTACACCTCCACCAAAAATAAATTCAAATCCAACCAAACAAAACAAAAAAATCAAGCAATCTTACCAAGGCTTGAAAACTGAGGGGGAGGTGCTGGGCTGAGGGCCAAGAGGAGGAGGAGGAGGGAAAGCACAGAGTGGGAGGGGGCGAGGGCTCCAGGGATGGCTGCCAGGGCCTTCCATAGCCAAGATCCCTCACATCTCCTAGCGAGGTGCTGGAGACCCCTCCTTCTGCTGGGGGCTCACCTTTGTACTGGGGAGTAAATTTGCGCATCTCGGCTGGGAGGGTCTCGTAGAACTGATGTTCCCTCGGGACCAGGGGCTTGCACAGGGTTGTCTCATTGAAGCGGAGCACGCACGAGTGGCCCCCGACCTGGTGGACAAAGGGCTCCAGCAGGACACCCTTGGCGCGGGGCTCCATGTCCATGGCCCTGAAGGCTGGGCTCATCCTCCGGGCGCAGACGGCAGGGAGAAGGGGGCGGTGGCAGAGTCCAGCGGCCAGTGCGTCCTGTTTTCTGTCCCTGCGTCTGACTGGTCTCGGCTTCTTGGCTTGTTCAGGCCAGTACTCTATGCCGGAAGCAAACACAATGATAACATGAGGGTTGGAAGCCCCGTGGGAACCGACTCAGAGCTGCTTGCCCTCTCGTCCAGCAGAAAGACAAACAGCCCGAGTTCTCGCAGGGCTCCGCCCACCCAGGCCCCGCCTCCTCCCGCAGAAAGACAAATACTCTGAGCTCAGGGGCAGGGCCGGATGCAGACTGGCAGGGAAAGGGATCCAGGGGAACCTAATGGGCCAGCACCCCCACCTCTGCATTAGGAAGCCACTACAGCAGGCAAAACACGATGCTGGACGAGGTGAAATCACAATTTCAAACCTAATACTTGGATTAAATTTTATCATTTTCTAATAAGATTGTCAAGCTTAAGGTGAATGATGCCCAAGTCTTTCCATTAATTATAAAGTGCATTTAAATACAGGGAAAACCTGCTTACGCATAATCTAGTAAGATTTACTTGTCCAGGCTGGTGACAAACACCGCCCCTGCCCAAGGCCAAAGACAAGCCCCATTAACCTTATTAGCAATGGAGCTTGGGCCCAGCTTTAATGATTAACGGCTGTATCTAAAAACAACTGATTGAGGCTGGCTAACTCCGTTTAAAAAGATACACAGTGTTCTAGGTCACCTACTATTTTTATCAGTTCTATCCTGATCGCCAAAAGCTGGGGCACACCTTTAAATCAAAGTTGTGCTTCAGGGGCAATCAGGGCTCTCATCCCCTCCCAGGTCCAGGACCTTAGAAACCCCAGCCACACACTAGATGCATAATTAGCAAAGCACACCTGTGTATGCACCCTGTTAATCATTTCAGGGCACGTCAAGCTATTTTTCTGTTTTGTCCAATTTACAGACTACACAGTCTCTACTAAAACTACTTACAGGTCTTGAGCTACATTCAGTATCTGTACAGGGATCTTACTGGGAACTCCTTTAGTTCCCGTGACTCCAACTGAGATGGTGGTAGTGAGGATGCATCTCTGGAGATGTGTCCTCTAACCTCTAATGTGGGTAAAGCACCTATTATGTGCCAGGCCCCTTACAGGAATTTTTTTTTTCTTTTTTTTGAGACAGAGTCTTGCTTTGTTGCCCAGGCCAGAGTGAGTGTCATGGCGTCAGCCTAGCTCACAGCAACCTCAAACTCCTGGGCTCAAGTGATCATCCTGCCTCAGCCTCCCAAGTAGCTGGGACTACAGGCATGTGCACCATGCCCAACTAATATTTTCTACATAATTTTAGTTGTCCAGCTAATATCTTTCTATTTTTTAGTAGAGACGGGGTCTCGCTCTTGCTCAGGCTGGTCTCGAACTCCTGACCTCCAGCGATCCTCCTGCCTTGGCCTCCCAGAGTGCTAGGATTATAGGCGTGAGCCACCTCGCCCGGCCAGGAACTTCTTTTGGTCCTCATGATACTTTCTATGAAGTAGATACTACTCTCCATGTTACAAACAATGAAGTCAATTAGGGGAGGTTAGGAAACTTATTCAGGGCCAGGGACGATAAGCCACGGCTCCCAAGTGAACCTCAGAATATTGGATGCCCCACACATCTACCTCTAGAGCCCACAGTCTCTGGCACTTCTGACTTGGTACAGCATTCTTACTATGCATATGGATCATTTAGCTTTTCCCATGAAAGTGTTTTCACCACATATTTGTATTTTCTATTTATAAAGTAGCCTCTTTTAAAGAGTTTAAACTGGTGTAATCTCTTCCTTTCAGAGAGAACCTGACTGTGGGCCTCAATTGGACTTAAGGAATAGGAATCAATAAACTTTCCTATATGCAAAGAGTAGAGAACCTAAGGCCCTAATTGCCTGGCACTATCTTCACATCACCACAAAAGCCAACAGGAGGCTATGTACTGAGAAGAGTCCAGAAACTCAATACAGGCAATGGGACTGTAAATATGAGTACATTCTAGCCATTCTACATTTTTTTTTTAAGAGACAGGGTCTTGCTCTGTTGTCTAGGCTGGAGTACAGTGGTGCAATCATAGCTCACCACAGCCTCGAATGCCTGGACTCAAGCAATCCTCCTGCCTCAGCCTGCCAAGTAGCTGGGACTACAGGGCGCATGCCACAACTCCCAGCTTATTTTTCTTATTGTTTTGTAGAGACAGGGTCTTGCTATGTTGCCCAGTCTGGTGTTGAATTCCTGGCTTCAACAGATCCTCCCTCCCACCTTGGCTTCCCAAAGTGCTAGGATTACAGCCATGAGCCACTGCACCAGCTCCTGGTAACTAGCCATTCTATACTCTCCCCAGAAGATGGAGCTCTGAGATGCCTGGCCACACAAGCCCTTTCTCTAGGTCTATACAGATTAATTCACATTAGTCTACTGAAAAGACCACTTGAGTAAGAGCAATAGCAAAGGAAAGCTATTGATGCATGGTCAGCCTACACCTACCAGTACCAAAGCACAGCACAGATGCCATAATTATTAAATTGTGAAAGCACAAGATGCGTTTCATGGGCTAGGCTTTAGAAACACAATCCAAAGCTTTCTTAAAGGTATAAAACTGCTTTTGCTATCAGAGCATTGCTAACAACGATGCAAACCCCTTTCCCATTCTGCTCAGGATTCCTTAAATGTACTCAGTTAAGTATAAAATTCTCTCTCCACATTATCTCTCTTACCCCTCCCCACCTCTTTTTGTTGTTGTTGTTGTTGTTGTTTTGTTTTGAGACAGAGTCTCTGGCTCTGTTGTCCAGATAGAGTGCCATGGCATCAGCCCAGCTCACAGCAACACCAAACTCCTTCTCTCAAGCTATTCTCTTGCCTCAGCCTCCCATGTAGCTGGAACTACAGGCATGCACCACCATGACCAGCTAGCTATTTTTTTTTTTTATTTTTAGTAGAGAAGGGGTCTCACTCTTGCTCAGGTTGGTCTCAAACTCCTGAGCTCAAGCAATCCTCCCACTTAGGCCTCCCAGAGTGCTAGGATTACAGGCGTCAGCCACTGCGATGGGCCACCCATCCCCACTTCTGATGAAAATTTTTTAAAAAACAAAAACAATCCAGGTACTCTGGGAGGCTGAGGTAGGAGGATGCTTGAGGCCAGCTTCCAGACCAGCCTGGCAACATAGTTAGACCCCATCTCTACAAAAAAGAAAAAAAAATTAGCTAGGCTGAGGCAGGAGGATGGCTTGAGCCCAAGAGTTTGAGGTTGTAGTAAGCTATGATATGATAAGGCCACTACACTCTAGCCCAGGAAAAAGAGCAAATCCCTGTCTCAAAATAAACAAATAAGTAAAATAAAATGAAACAGACAAAAACAGTCTTTCATGGCATCTCACTAGGGTGTGGCTCATGGCTGCAGTTGGAAGCTAAAAGGTCCAGTAAGGGTCTCTACCTCCTTCTCCCAGGTCACCAGAGTGTTCATTAGCTGCTGGGCATGATGTGGCGCCTTGCCACCCTCCCTCCACTCTAACCCAGGAGGATGCTGCTCCTGAGAGAATCATCATCTTTTTCGGTACAGGGGTAGGAAAAATAAGGCTCATTCTTGCCTGAGCCAAGTCAGTTAAGAGAAGAAACTCTAAAATGTGAGGGAGAATTAAGGAGACAAATAATTGGCATGTGGTGAGGTGCAGCCCCATTCTAGTACCAGTTCTTCCACTCAATTGCTTGGAGAAATTATGTATTAGAGAAAGACTCTAAGTCCCTGGCTCTCTTTGGATTCTAGTTTTCTGGTCTGTAAAATTGAGAAGAGAGGCTTGAAGTAGATCTCTATGTTACAGGTTGTATAAGCAAATTAGTGAGTGATGACCAATAGCTTTTTTCTTTTTTAATAAAACATAGTAAGGCCAGGCATGGTGGCTCATGCCTATAATCCTAACACTCTGGGAGGCTAAGGCAGGAAGATCACTTGAGGTCAGGAGTTCGAGACCAACCTGAGCAATAGTGAGACCCTATGTCTACTAAAAATAGAAAAATTACTCAGGTGTGGTGGTGCGTCTATATTCCCAGCTACTCGGGAGACTGAGGCAAGATGATCGCTTGAGCCCAGGAGTTTGAAGCTGCAGTGAGCTGTGATGATACCACTGTACTCTAGCTGGGGCAACAGAGCCAGACTCTGTCTTAGAAACAAAAAACAACAGCAATAACAACAACAACAACCAAAAAACCAGAGAGAAACAAAATGTCAGTGCATTCTACATAATAAATTAAGTCCTTTGTGATCCTTTTTTTCAACTATATTCCATCTCTTAATATGAACATCAGTATGCCTTCACTGTTCAACATATTTCTTATATTTGAAGTTGCTAGGAAGTAGAGTTGTGATGAGGCTACTGCACTCTAGCACTGGTTACAGTCCCTTATAGGCTCTATCTCTGCAAGAAAGTGAAGGATCAACTTCCCAAAGATTACACAGCAAATCTCCAAAGCACCTGCTCTGTTTCATCTGTTACTCTCTTTGTTCAACATGCACTTTGAACAGTGGGATCTCTAAATTTAAAGGTTTTTTTTTTTTAAGACAGTCTTGCTCTGTTGCCTGGACTAGAGTGCTGTGGCATCAGCACTGCTCACAGCAACATCCAACTCCTGGGCTCAAGCAATCCTTCTGCCTCAGCCTCCTGAGTAGCTGGGACTACAGGCACACACCACCAAGCCTGGCTAATTTTTCTATTTTTAGTAGAGATGGGGTCTTGCTCTTGCTCAGGCTGGTCTCGATCATGTGCCACCATGCCCAGCTAATTTTTTCTATATATTTTTTAGTTGTCCAGCTAATTTATTTCTATTTTTAGCAGAGACAGGGGTCTCACTCTTGCTCAGACTGGTCTTGAACTCCTGACCTTGGGCAATCCTCCCGCCTTGGCCTCCCAGAGTGCTAGGATTACAGGCGTGAACCACCACACTTGGTCTTCTTTTAAGGTTTTAAGATCCAAGGTGTAAGGCTCAGTTTCCTGGGAATCCTGCAGTATTAATGGTTACCATAAAGCTGAAGCAATGTGTGGGCCACATAGCTAGAGAGATAGGAAATACTCGCGATATACTGGCTTCAGATTTAG